CTTTCTGCGCCTCACAAAAGACGCCGTGAAATTCGAACGGGGAGAATAACAACAACAGGCATTCGACGAGCTAAACCGACGCCTCCCGTCGCCACTGATTCTTGGTCCCTTCAACAAATCAGCCTAAATAGAAGTTCAAATGGACAACAGCAATACAGGACTCGGCGCGGTACTGGTCCAACGACGAGAGGGTACAGAGTGCGTGATCACCTACGGAAGTCGGACGTTGTCAAACCGGGAATGTGATTACTCGACGATCAAGAAGGAATGTCTTGCCGTCGTCTGGGCCATGACAAAATTCTGCCCGCAGTCATGCGGGAGGCTTTTTCGAGTGGTCACTGAACACCACCCGCTATGTTCGTTAACGAGCATGAAAAACCCATCGGGACGCCTCGTTCGATGGCGCCTACGGCTGTAAGAGTACGGCGTGACCATGGTCTACAGGTTAGGCCGACAGCACATCGATGCGGACTGTTTGCCAAGAACCCCGTCGAGTCAGCGACTGGCTGCGGCAAAGAGGGCGGCGGCGATGACATGCACTTTTTCGGTGCAGTGAGTGTTAATGGCATGGCAGCGCTTCAACGGGGCGATCCTGAATTGCGCGCGCTGATCGACCACTTGGAGGGACGAGGGGGTACGATTCCCCGAGCTTTTTCACGTGGCGTTCAACATTCGCCGGCCGGCAAGGTATTCTATACAAAGAGAACCTCGAGGACAGCAACTCGACATGGCTCCTAGAGGTCCCTAGAAGGCTTCCAGAAGAGATCTTCCGAGCCTGCCATGACAACCCGACATATGGTCACCTAGTTACAGCAGAACACTTGCACGGATTCGAGAAAAATTGTACTGGCCCAAGCTCCCCGAAACTGTCCACCTGTACGTCCGATCTTGCCGCGAATACTAACGACGCAGAAACCACCGACGAAGCCGGCAGGACTCCCACACCCAATCACTGCCCCGTCTACGCCGTTACATCAAATCAGAATGGGCTTGCTTGGACCATTATCAACGCAAGAAAACCGGTGGTTCATCGTCGCGACCGATTACCTCACCACATACGCCGAGACAAAAGCAGTCCCGTCGGAAACTGCTGTCGGAGCAGCCAAGTTCTTTGTCGTGGGCATCGTCCTCAGGCACGGTACCCCCAAATTACTGGTTACAGACCGAGGGTTGTCGTTTTTAATACAGCTAACCCAGGAGATCCTCCGGCTCAGTAACAGAAGCCATCGTGGAATTACGGCGTACCATCAGTAGACGAACGGGCTGACAGAACGGCTAAACAAGACCATCGCCAACAGGATCGCCATGTACGTCGACGTGGAGCACAAGACGTGGCTAGAGGTCTTGCCCTACTTCAAGTCTGCGTACAACACAGCAGTTCAAGCGACCGCTGTAGTTACATCTTTCCAGCAGGTGCATGGTCGGAAAGTAAGGACCCTGCTGGACGCGATGCTGCCCCTCGAACCAGCTGGCGATTGGAGCAACGACGCCCAGGTGGTCGCTCAATAGGCCGAAGAAGTCCGCCGACCCACCGACTTCACATTCAAGACCAGCTGCCTGTTGACACTGGCCGTTACAACCTTCGTCGTTAGATTCAAGCGGTTCAACGCTTGGTGGAACAGAGGAGTTTTCGTTCTCTAGAGGACGTTTGTAGCTTGCCATTGTTTTGCTTTGTTTTGTGTTGCATTGGGGCGATGCGCATTTAAAAGGGGGTGTAATGCCGCTTGCAGGATCGAGAACGTACGCTTCTGCGTTCTTCTAGAAGGTTCGCGTATACTCTTACCCTAAACGTAGACGAAAAGGAAGCCAGAACGTCCTTGCCTAGTAAGTCCGCCCTAGCTCTTTCCGAACATTCTTGGGGCCCTAATCTGGACACTTGGCGAGAAAGACGGCGAGAAATCTGACGGCTACCAAGTGTCCAGATTAGGACCCTTGGTCGAATATTTGAGCTGACGAGCATACTAGGTAAAGAGCCGAGCGCCGTATTGCTGATTCATTCACTGGTTCTTTCTCGTGATAGCCAGCTGTTACGCCGACGCATCGTGGCTTGATGCTGCCGCCGCCAACGCTCGCTGGTGCTTTCCCGACGTGAGTTCGTCCTCTTCGTTTCTGGGTCAAGTTTGACCCAAATAAATCTTTAGTTCATTGTGTTTTCTGCAGCCTCATCATCTGTTATTTGTGACAATATCCATGTATGTTCGAGAGACCTTCAATGAGTTCATTAACAACATAACTCTCATTACGAATTACAGTGATTCATTTCGAAAAGGTGTAATTGAACATTGCGGCGGAAAATATATTTCCTTGCTTCGTTTCAGCTAAAGTTTGAGCACTATAAGAGGCCAGAGGAAAGACAAACGCGGATTAGGCATTCAAAACAAAACCTAACGGCACATTAAGATCGATTGATTGGCGAAGCCTGGGTTTCCCACGCACGCGAGAAAGACAAGAGCCGTGCAGTTTGCGATTTTGGTGCTGCATGATTAGCTTCGTTGGCTCGCAATCTTGGCTGCGCTTTGACTTATGATCACACGAAGAATAGCACGAGTTACGTTGCGTAAAAAAGGCGAACATATGGTGCGTTGAGAATTGCAGAATAAAATAGAGATATGGGCTAGTTGGTGCTATATCCTTTAAACAATTGTGCTCCTTAAAATAGAGACAAAAGGAAAGGGATACAACACGAAGAGCTTCGGGTTGTCTCGTTGTCTTTTTTTACCTATTTTACTGCGCATATTGTGCAGAAAGCCTCTAGTTTAGTTTGCTCAAGAAAACTGCCTTGAAAGCTGGAGATTTCACAGTATTTTCCAAGTTTCTGTATAGTAGAATGAGGGGTGTGCCAATCATAGTTCGAATCGAATAGCCCTTAGTTATTCCAATAGATTTCGCTACGCAAGCAAAGGGTAAGCTATGGCCGCTCTATTTACAGTGCCAAAGGTAGGAGCCACACTGCGCTATTCGATTTGAACCAACATTCGCACAGCACAACATCTTGTTGGAGTTTGTGGAAATTCGATTTTGAAGGAGCCCTTTGCTCTTACCTCTCTTAAAAGAAAGTCGTGAAGCAGGTTGCTAGTTACAAGAAAATATTACAATATTGACGTCTGATAAATGAACGCACTTTAATTAATCCCAAGTCACGTCGTTCACCCGTTTGATATGAAAGTGTATATGCATAGACATCAGTCAATACTACACCAGAACAATTGCTTATTTACAGGCACAGTTGACGCGATGTAGATGCATTTTTGAAGGTCCTCGGATTCCGACACACCGCACGTCTGTCAGATGCACGGGTCATATGTTTAAAAAAGTGTCTCTCACTAAAGGCAAGGTGATTAACACACAAAACAAATAATAATGGTGTCGTTCAGTCCAACGTGGCAGTGAGTGAGCAATTCACACTTAAACAACAAAACATCAAAAGGAAATTGAGTATTTTTGTTCAAGTTGTACTGATAAAATAAACCGTAATTGTAAAAACAAAACGGTTTCTGTAACTGAGTATAAAACAAATATTCAAAACAAACCTACGTACCGAAACCAAAATTCTGCCCGTCTCTGTTTAACTAACGTATAACTTGAAGCCCGATGTAATCTCTGCATAAATTGTTTGACTTCTAGTTTTTTATAACATATTTGCTAGTGTGACCAATCTCACCATGATTCTAACACATGCTTGCTACGCTTGAAAGACGTGTGCATTCAAATTGACATGCTGTAACAAATGGTAGTCGACCTTTCTTGTATCATGAATACGAAGAAACACTGAGGAAAAAAAAGTAAATGAGATTGCGCGGGGATGTCGGAGCACCGAGCTCTGATTGGAAGGATGGTGTGGACACGCGAAGGCAAGCTGTCTTTGTCGACAGCATGACTTTCTACACCCTAAGATAAAGCTGCGCGGTTGTACAACCTTGGTCGGTTATCCACTGTTGAAGCGGGTACGAATGCCGAACACAGCCGTTCGTGTTTGAACGCGGGACACTGCGCGAGCAGCAGACTGCGCCATTGTTTGCTTTGACTGGAGGGAAACAGTAGATAGAGGCGAAGGCTGCAAGCCTTCCGCCTAGCCACTAATCCCTCCAATCACACCTCGGCACCCTGACGTCCCCTCATGCTCTCGTCTGCTCCTCTTCCTCAGTTTTTCTTCGTATACGATCTATAAACTGCTTCCGCCGAAACACACGCTGGTTTGAAGGAGGTGAAGCGGGACTTACAGCGCGTACAGTAACGCTTCAATCCCAACGTATCGCGCTGGGATTTACTGCGGAGGAGCCCGAAGGTTTTGCACTCATTAATTGAGAGTACATACATGACTGTCAGCGTAAAAAAAAAGAAAAAAAAGTTTGGTTTTGTGTATGGAGAAATTATTGCTAAACCTTTTTTTCTCAAAATCATTAAAAAAAACGTTCTGGGCGATTCTGGTGTTTACTACAACTGATGATACGGTGAAACTAGATAAAAAATTGCTCTCCCATTTTTCGTTTTACTTTGCCCAAATAAGGGCCACAGTGAAACTAAATATTATTCAAGTGTACATGCAAAGTACAGAGAAAACATAGTTCTGGATTTTTAGTAATTTACCAAGGTGAGTCAATATTTCCAAACTTTTAGTAAAAGCTTCCATCAACTTCGGGGCAGCTCTGTTTTAAATCATAGCGCGATAGGTTAAGAACCCGATTTTGTGCAGACCGTGTAATATGAGATTGAATCGTTGTTGTGAACGCTGCATTTTGGTCAGTGTATACCGCCTGACGCAGGTCTTTCAGGTTCAAGACAACGTTACACGTTAATGTCGCGGTCACAGTCGGCGTACATTGTAATATTCATACCTCTCAAGCTTCTTCCTAGGTATAACTGAGATATGTCGTCTTTTCATATTCAAGATAAATGATAGGCCCGTGTGGCCTACATGGCGGTTGAGGAGAACCGCATCACAATCACAGAAAGGTTTCACAGTCATCTTGCCCACTTCTTGACGTTCAGGTGGGAAGTATGTTGCGTTGCGGATCACCGGAACACTCCATGGGTTTGAACACGTTGTCTCTGAGCATTTAAGCAGCTTGTGCCTGCTGAAAATAGAAGAATCTTTGGCTTCCCGACTTGTAGTAGGAACGTGGTTTTGCCCTTGTCTCCTGAAATGTAAAGAATAATAAGCGGTTCATTAAGTCAGATCGTTATCTCGTTAAACTTGAAACACGCTCCACTCGGCATCTTCATTTACTTTCCTCAGCGCCCATCTTCATAAGGACTAATTTGTAAAATAATTCTAATTCTCCAGAACCATCGATGTCTGAAACAAACTGCCTAGTAAACACATGATTCTAAGGGGAAACTGCGGACAACACTGGGACAAGGAACAAACACACACGTCTCAATATATATTTTGAGTCGTGTGTGTTTGTCCTTTGTCCCCGTTGTCGTCATCCATCTCCGGTTAGAATCGTTTGTAATGTTACGCAGGTCGCAGGTTAGTATCGTTGTCTTCTGCCTACTCGAGTTGTCCAGTGAAATATGAGCCGTCTGTCTTATGTTTCCTAATAATTCAAGGTCACATTAATCCTTTGTTTTTGCTTCTCTTACTGCAGAGTTTTGTGGCGTTATGCAAAATTAGTGTGTGCGTGCGCGCGTGTTTTAATGATTCTCCCTAACTAAAATGGTTTGGTCTCCTATGTGCATATCAGTTGCATTCGTTCTTAATTACTGATTTATTTGCCGCCGTCACTATTACGAGTTGTGAGTTACAAGGTTTTGTTACAGTAAGGAATTCCGTTCACAAATTCTAGTGCGTCTTTGTGTGTTTCTGTCTTTGCATTGCCCTAATATGTATCATAAACTCTCCTGCTTTGGCCCCTTGTGTGGCCTACAACATTGCTAAATAGAAAAAAAATATTTGTTGAAACAGTAACGTTAACAAACATATTGAAAAGCACAGATTTAGGAACAAAAGGTGAACAACTCACATGCAGGTCTGCTTGAAAACTGTTTGTGCGCGCGTGTGCAAGTGCGCGCGCGCGTGTGTGTGTGGGTTTGTTGTTAACTTTCTGCTTTTAAGTTCGGAGTTTTCAGGATATTAAAGATTCACTAGCTTGCCTGCATGATCTGTTATTTCTGTTGCATACAAAGATGCATTGTAAAGTACCATTTCAAAGAATTATTTCATGAAAACTGCTATCGAGCGTATCCTCTTAATATATACAGGGTATCCACGTAAATTCATCCAAGGTTTAAACATATTTTAGTGCATTTATGAAGACGAAACCAAACGAATAGGTTGGCTCATTGTTTGGAGCAAGTCAGGCCATTTTTTTGTATTTTGCCCTATTGACTAATTAATTAAGACTATTTAATGAACTTTTTGAAATATTGAATTTAGAGCAAAAGTTATAATGACAAAGTTGCAGAGCGTTCTAAAAAACATCCAATTCAGTGCTTTGTATCAAGAAACCTATAACATAATTCCTTCTTCCGGGCTTCAAAAAAGTGCCCGAATTATGAAAAAAACAAACACAAAAGCGCGAATTTGTCAACTGCGCTCAGTCAACAGTGCTCTATTTAGCATGCAGGCCTAGTTTATTCAAGGCACGGCTGAGAGCGCTGCAATACAAGGTGCCCATGCGAGAAGTCACATTTTTTTTCATAGTTCACAAACTATTTTCCAAGCCCATAAAAAATGTGCTCAGGTTTCTGGATAAAAACACTCAATTGGATGTTTCGGAGGATGCTCTAAAAGTTTGACATTGGAACTTTTGCTCTTAATTGAATATTTCAAAAGTTAAATAATTAATATTAAATAATTATCTAAATGGGCAAAAACACAAAAAATAGCCTAACTTGCTCCAAGCAATCGACAAAATTATTTTTTTGGCTTCGTCTTCCTAAAATGCACCAAAATATTTTTAAACTTTGTCTCAAGTTACGTGGAATACCCTGTATATTAGTACACTATGATATTGCAATTTGACGTTGTTTACGCAATAAGGAAAATAAAAGAAACTAGGAATATTTGGAAGTAGTAAAATACAAAAAAGAGGCGGAATTTGATTAGAAAACAGTGCGAAAAGAAAATGATTATATTTTACAGGATTAACATATCCGTGTCAGTTGAATGAGTTGGGCATCAGTCGGTGAAGGCTGTGTAATATATCGATAGCACGTGCGCCAAGTTTTCTCAAGGAAGCTTGTCAGTCAACATAAAACGACAGTAAATATCCGCCACAATAAACAAATGAAAAACAACACAAAATCGGTTTTTAAATTAAAAACAATAATTATTCGAAATTTGATTATTGGCGCTTTGATATCACATCTAAATATTTTAGCTTGTATGATGCACTTTCGGGTTCGAATGAAATGCTAAAAGTCGCGGAATTTCCAGCGCATCACCGGCGCAGCGTCGAAGCTTGGGCAGTGCTCTGCGGGGGTGGAACACGTCGGAGTATGAAACACACACTCGCAGCGCCCCAGTATCCATCCCACATTTTTATCAGTTTGCAGAGGCCTTCAGAAGGCACAGCAAGTGTCGCCGGCCACGCCCTCCAGTGTTGGCATTTGATTGGAACCCGAGAGTACGTCGTCCCGATTTCTGTCACCAAAAAACATGCATCAAGTGCGCTTCGACAAGATTCGTGGCACGGTTCAAGTGAGTCAGTAAAATATTTTTTGTTCCTTTGCCTACTTATTAAGTTAAAATGTTCGACGAGTATTTATGTCAATTTATTTACCATTGAAATGGTAAAACTAATTCCGCACAAAATAAACGATGACCGAAACATGTCCGTGGTTTCGTTATTCAAGACAAGTAAGTTTTTTTTTTTCAATTCACACAATATTATTCGCAGCAGCCAGAAATGAGCCGGATAACTCTGCAGAGTTGAACGATATCCGCCCTCCGTTCCAGGCGTAAATTAAGTGTATAAAATGAAGTGTATTGCTATGTTTACTGTTAAAGCAATATGCATGTGATGGCACCACAAATAGGCACTTTCTAAACAAATAACACGACAAAACATGTTGCTTATAAGTTTCATAACAAACATCAAAAGCTGAAACTTTACAAAGAAACAAATAATATTTGAGGTACTTTAAAAAAAAAAAAAATGTCTTACCTGTGTTGACTTTCACCTATGCGATATCCTATTCAGTCGTTTTGAAGGCGAGTGGTTAACTGAAAAAGAAAATTTTGATCAATAGTCAGAAATTATTTTGCGTCGATGATCTAAAGTCTTGTTATCGTATCAAACGGCGTAAAGAGTGGTTCGCCAAGTGTCACAAAATGAATAATTTGGCCTCATGCAAAGGTATTCGGCCACGTCTCTTTTTTATGTCTGTGTTGTGTGTGTGTCCTGTATCAGCCTCCAGATTACTAAAATGAGGCGTGAGAATATGCTTCAAATTAATTGAAAACGGTACCACAATGCAAAGGAAGAGAAAGTGGGTGAAGAGGGATGGTGCATTTATATTTGTAAGGGGTCATGATTCTTTAGGAAATCCCGACACAAAGTTATTGTTGTGTCTATTGTCGATACTCTATTTGATATTATTCATTTCGCAGAACGTCCCTTTCCGTACAAGTACGTTTTCACTTAATAAAACTAGAGTTACATCAACATAATATTATTATCCCAAACGTGTCCCGTGAGAGGTTTTTAACATAAGACGTAACATAAGGATACTGAGTTTAATGAAGACAATAAAAGGATCCCTCCAATATTTGATATGACCTTCTTTGTCAAAGCTGGCGTCCACCATTATTTGAGTTAGTTTGTATTTGACCGTGCTTAGTTTTTCACGTTTCCGGACAAAACATATATTTATTCTTACCGGAACGTACACTGAAGAACATTTCCAATATATCTGTCAGAAATATTTTCAGGGCCAAATATAACGACTTAAGTACTATGTAAGCTTTCTTGTTCTGGGACGCCAACAATAAAGGAATACACTAAAGGTCAAACTGGTCACTAACCTTCTAAGCCGTCTGTTCCGTCATCCAACTTGACTATGGCTGTAGCCATTTTCCAGTGGCTAGACGACGGTCGCCGGTCCGCGACATCTGACATAGAGTTTATGACTGCGGATAGAGACAAGTGAGAAAACATGAAATTACAGGTCCCTTTGTTTGCTTGAAACGATACCTGAGGTAACTGAAGTTTTTCTATTTTTTTCGAAGTAACGCATGTTTTGAGAATGATTGTACGATAAACATGTCAACAAAACAATAGCAAAAACTTAAAAATGTGTAAATCCTGATGTTTATGTGTTACCAGCCACGTTACGGCATTGAGATTCGTAGATTCAAATATGGCCATGTAAGAAATAAAATACCAAAATTTCGAGTCTTCAAAACTAGGGTAGCAGGAACTTTTCATTCCCGTGCTCGAAAATAAGGCCAGTTTACTGACTAGATGAAAATATTATCAAGGGTCCCAGCGCTTTAGACAAAACGCAGGCTGAAGTATTTTTTTTCTTGTGCTGCTTTTACAGTGTTAAGACTTACGTCTTTTGGCGCATCTATCTGAAGCCCATTAGCCACAATCCCTTTCGATTCCAAAACCTTATGTTTAATCTTGGACGTGTCTATAAATTCTGAAAGCGCATCAAAAGAAGATGTAATAACCAAATGCTAATGTCTTGTAATAAGATTGAGTAAAATTAGCTAGTAATAATTTTAACGAAGTGTAAAGTTGGGCTAGCTGGTTGGTGGTCATATTGGATGGGTTAAAGCAGCGCAAAAAGACGAAGGACCAGTAAAAGCGCTGTGTCTGTGTGTTTCCTTTAACTGGTCCTTCGTCTTTTTGCGCTGTTCTAACCCAGTTAATAACTTCAGCAGAAAGGCATATTGTTGTTGTTTCTTTTTCTAGCCAGAAAGAAACGATTTTTCAGAAGTTGAGAGTCTTGAGACTAACAATTTTGTTTGTGTAGAGTCAGGAATGGTTTACTTGAGAAAACTTTTACACAGAACATTCCTTCAGCGTTCACACTTACTAGGATAGTTGTACACGTGGATATCAGATCTTGGGGGCCTAGGCGTCCTCTTCACTGTGGCGTAAAGAGGCTCGTCCTGGGCCTGCTGATGAGAGAGGGTAGATAATAATTTGCAAAGAATCGAGTATTTCCGAGCACGTCATCTCGAAACATTAAGTACCAATTCAAGAAAGCAGTCTGAGCGATCGTATACTTTATAATCTAGCAACGAATGTTCTACTTTGTCTTATATATGATGACGAAATGAGTGAAGGCACTTGTATAGAGTGTGCTGCAATTCTATGAATATAGCACTTCGTGTTTTCTCTTCTTATGAGGGTTATCAGTACTCTAAATATGAAGGGAAATCTGAGTACACTGGCTTGCATTAAGGTCAGTGATCTCTGCAAGAGCTCCTGGTCGATACTTCAGGCTCCTTCTCTCGTTGGTTGCTGACATCTAATCTCTAGGACGCCATTCTACCTCTGTTAAAGCAATAAGTGTTACCTACTGTAATATTGTGTAGTGTTGTGTTGTGAGAACCACATAAGACTAATATTAAAATATGATGTTTTAAAGCACTATTTGCAATATGAAACTCAGCCGTACCGTCAGATATAAGGTTGAGTCGGTGTTTTCGGTTCGGACTAATTGGGTAAGGATTACAGATGAACACGTTGCTACTATCCACTAACATTTGTAGATTAACAGATGTGCGTTTTTGAAATGAGCAATCGCTTGGCACAATTGGTAAATTTTTTAAGTTAGGAAATTAGTATGCTTCGTTTTGAAGTTTACCAAGGAAACGGTCATTACTATGGCGCCAGTGAGTCAATTAAGGGCATCGGAGTGACGCACTCGTGCGGGGTTCATTTACGTGCAAAAATGCGACAACCTTTTTGCTGGCTGAGGTCGTATCTTTCAAGAGCTCTGCATTAATGCGAAAAGAAGTGATAGTTCTAGTTACTACACGCAGCATTAGAGGTTCTTTTTTGCCACAGTTATGGCCAAAACTATTGTGTAAGAAAAAGGAGAAACTAAAATATCCCCCGAATAAAAAAAAAAGACCAAAAACTAGTACACCTGCAGCTGTTAAATGGATCGCAATACACGTCTGGAATTAATTCAAGATCGAAGTCTATTACAAAATGGCAAACGTACAAAACACTACATTCCAAGAGTTGTGCAGTGGCTTTTAGCACTTTAATAAAAGGCAGTTTTATCTGATAAGACATGTAACACAAACCAGATTTGATTAAGACCAAGTCAAAGAAGGTATTTGTTGTGCTTTGAGTACTATAATGGCTTGAGAACTCTCTAGACGTCTACTCCTTCTTCCCAAGTTTGTTAAAAAGATTCAATAAATACACCATTAATTGTTTTCTGCGCTTCACGGCTTGTTATAACAAAGGAACAGAGAAACTCCGCAGTCCTTAAATCAGCAGTTTTCAGCTTAACCCGTAACCCAATAACCCGGTGACCAGTGTTCTTGGAGGACCACGGTGTTCTTCGAGAAAGCAGATATTATAATTATATCTTTAGTAAATTTTGCTTGCCGTATGTATTTATAGTTTCTTTAATAAAAGTTTTGGCTTGCTGTAGAGAGTGCGCAAGTGCGCGCTATGTCCAGTCCATTAATATATAATCTGCCATTTTTTGGTCCGGGGTAATTGTGGAAAATATAAAGCGTCTAGCATTGAACGCGCATGGTCATGCGAAACTGACACGGTGACGTCACGACATCCTGTGAGAGAAGAAATTGCTTGGGATAAAGTCATCTGTTCACGTGACGTCAGGAGGCACTCGCCTGGAAGGACGCGACGTGTTTTTAGACAAGTGCCACCTGAGCATATGAGCGTTCTTTTTTGTATATTCTTTTACACAGAACGTGTTTTGGGAAATGGTTTTAGAAAGCACATTTCCTAAAACGGACGATGCAAGCTTGTAAGCCTCTAAATTTACCCTTGAAGGGTTTCTTCGATAAATACAACGGAAGAACCCGAACTTATGTACACTTATAAACCAATTCATGTTTTCTTCCTCAATTTACCAGCGATATTAATTTGGGTTATAATTAACCACAAATCATGTTCTCCCGCTGAATTTAACAGGGATAGAATTCCCGCCACTTATAGTGGGTCCTGAATTTTCTAAGTTTAGCGGAATTTCTCGCTGCTCTCAAGCCGAGAAAAGCTCAGAAAGGCTCGGAAATAAACACACCGCACAGGTTAAAACACGTTGCACGTGACGTATCTCCCGATTTTGTAGGTAATGTCCAAAAACGTTTGCTTGCATGCTTGTACTGCGATACGAATGCATTTCTTTGCAGTTCTGGACGTGGAACTATAAAGCTTTCCCTCATCAAAGAAGATTGTGATAACGCTGCTGTTGGAAATACGATGAGAGAGGAATAAGAAAAAAAAGAACGATGTATACGAGAGGAGGAAAAAGAGGTAAACGGAGGGAAGGAAGCGAAGCGAGGCTCGAAAAGAAGAGAGGAATGGAATAAGAGATAGCTGACGGCTCCTGACGAGAAGGTCGTCCAAGGTCGAATTATAGGCAGAGTTACTCTGGTAGGCCCTGTAGCTTAGCCCAGGCCTCAATAACTACTGAAGAAAACCTAACCTTGCAGTCGATGTGACAACCGCCCCAAATACCATTCGAAGACTGCCATTTTAGCATGCCCCAAAGGTCTAAATGATACAGCGGGTGGTACCCAGTGATATTTGGTACCTTGTTAAGTGAACAACGTCAGCGAAAAAAATGTTTTATCACCCGAATTCTACGTGAAAATCGTGATGAAGACCCTTACGGGACATCATGATGTCACGTGATATCATGAGGTCAAGTGACGCTATGACGTCCTGTGACAAAATTGCATCATGTGACGTCATGGAGTGGTGTGACGTCACTCACATGTGACCTCAAAATGTCACATGATGTTATACAAACATTGCATTTGCCCAGCTCATTTACAGCGCATTCTGTGCTCCGCGGTGGTTCTCAACATGACTCAAAGAGTGTACAGGTCACCTCAAAGTAAAACGGAACGCCGGAGCGGAGACCCAACTGCATCTCCACGCTATCGATCAGCGCCGGCTGGAACTGATAGGCTACATCTGCGCATGCGAACGTGCCTCTCGCTGGGGCCACCGTCTTCTTCTTCCAACCCACACGTTATCGATGGTTCGAGCGGTGGAACGATCTTTCTAAAATCGACGCCTGATAGCACAAGGGGTGGTGCTCATCGACAACACTGGCCTTTTGCCACTTGTCCTCAGCGTTATCTCCGCGTGTGAGCCGAACACCTAGCGGTGCTCATTGAACAGCGTTTGGTAGCTCGAGACGCCGATAATGCAAGGATGAAAAAAGAAAGACGGAAGACACCGCGAACGGCACGCGCGCATGCGCAGGCGGCACCTATCAGTTGCAGCCGGCGCCGCTAGATAGCGCGGCGATGCAATTTGGTCGCCGCTCCGGCGCTCCTTTTTACTTTGTGGGGACCTGTACATTGTTTTATGCATTTTATGCATTTTTTGTAACCCAGAATTTTTTAATATCTGAGTATCGCATTTTCATTGAGGATTTACATCCCTACCGAGAAAAGAAACATCGCAAAGATTCGTTACCTGCTTGTATGAACACTCGGACAGCTTCCGCTCGTCTATGTCAGTGACGCGGGTGGTGGCGTAAGGGGTCGGGTAGTAATCTAGCCTTCCCTCGAGAGACATGCTCTTCTTGCCCAGACTCTTGTCCACTTCGGACAGATGCAGACATTCTTGCAGGTGGCTCTTGCGTGATCCGTAGGCTGAGCTTCCTGGGGTGAAAACAGAAACAATTCAAAGTCGTGATGCCCGAATAAAAAAAATGAAAGATGATTACAATCCCTGTAACGCCGAATTAGAGCGCAGCTTTTGAGGAGGAGGAGGGGAAGGAACGAAGAGGAGGGTATGCCCCTCCTTCTCATCCGTTCCCTGGTCTCGTGCTCCTCTCCTATTTAGCGGGAAATTTTCGCTAAATTCCCCGCTAAATTTAGCGGCACAAATTCCCCGCTAAATTTGGAGAGAACTTTTTTGCGCTGATTTTAGCGGGGACATTTTTCCGCCAAATTTAGCGGGGAGATCGACCCATAATGCAACGCGCGGTGACGTCACAAGTGGCTCTCGTGACGTCACACGTGACGTGACGTGTGATGTCGTTATGGGAGACGTCCCATAATGCAACGCGCGGTTACACCGTTGTCGACGCCAGCCAAGCCGGTAACGGGCGCCCAAGAGCTGCGCTCTAAAGCTACTATACTAGTTTTATCCGCAATCGGAGCAGGGTTATAAGCTAATAGCACACAAACACAAACGCACAGAATAATAAACGTGATGTCACGACGCACCGTTCGAGCGTTTGATTGGATCAGTTTGGCGGCAACACTTGCATAGAGGCACGAAAAGTGCGTGTTCTATCACTTTCCGATAAGCTTTTTGGACCATTTGGCATGTTGCGTTTGTAACGCTTGGACATACAATGAAACAAAGTATAGAGCTCCATTTGGGGGGTTTAATAAACGAGCTGCGATATTGGCAACATTTTGACTCAATACTATAACTGAATATAGTTAGAAAAAAAATACCACAAAAATGAAAATAAGTAAGTAGCGCTCTTTTTGCTCTAGTGTTTTTCCTATTAATAAGAAAAAACACTTTTTTATGATTAGTCAAACAAAAATACGAGACCTTGGGCAATTGGTATTAATAGTGTATAAGCTTTTATATTATACTAACACTATACACACTTTTATGTTCATTGGAGGTATTCATATAGTTTTTTTTTACTAGTGTTGCTTGCTATGTATGATATACATGCCAAAATACAGGTTTGATTTAGGTTTTATTTTAATGGCAATCTACTGATATACTTTGAAATGTCACAGCTATATGTCGGTTGACAGCAGACATAATGCATGTTAATACAATTTTTGGTTTCGTCAGGTCGACCTATTAGACAGTTAGCCATATTTCAAATTGCCAAGCTCCTTTTGATATTATGTTTTTCGTAGATCTGGGACCATTGTTTTGTTTTATGCCTTGTTTTATACGGCAGATACTCGGGTGCTTTGATCTGAGTGTTGCGTTATAAAACAGGCGAGACAGTTACCTAGTGATACCCTATAATTTAAAGCTGCATTGTTATAGTAACGTAACAATTGGAGAGCAGCTGCTGAACTAAAGTCTCTGAATAGGCAGTGGTTCCTAAATTTCCAAAGTTCAGGCCGATAACAACATTATTTTTTTGACTGGCAGAGCGTTTGTAGGTTATTTTTCTGCTTCAATATATTTTACAATTAAATACCCCTTACACCGTTTGATTGTAGAAACCTTAACTGGATTCGTCATTGCGCTAGTTAGCAACTCAGATTGATCAAGTATGACGATGCCTATGATTACGCATGTCAACTGTTTCGCCAACATTGATTCTCTCACACTCCCATAGTCTTGTCAACAAGTTTATGGGCGTAGATAAGCGAGGGTTTATCGCACGCGCGTTATAGATGTCCCTGACAGAAACAGCGCAAGGTGCCTTGACATCGGCATCTTGTAACTGGTATGTCAACATATTGCTCGCATAAAAACACGGGATATGACTACGAAATGTACCGACCTTGAATGGTCATGAATCAGCATCAGGCGATTCTTGACGTCCCCGTTTATTCTATATATTCGCACGTCGTAAGTTTCCCCAAGTATAGTGGTCATTGTGCAAAAAAATAATAAATTTATACGCAGGCCCGCCCCAACATCTAAAATGTACTGAAACAACACATTAGAATTCCTGTGCATTACGTTAATATTGATCACTCTAAGGTTAAATAAAATATATTGGTCTACCCACACTACTCGGCGATTGACAAGACAGAAATAAAACCAACTCCGCAAAGTGGCACTGAGCATTAAACTAATCCCAAACAAATTACTACGCTTTTAAATTCTCGTTGAAAAGGGTCATAAAAAGTGTAAAGGAACAAGGGTTCGTGGGTTGCAGTGTACCCAATCAACCGAAGTGACCGAGTTTTAGAGAAAGTGTAAGTTCAAGTTGTTCTTTCTTGAGACTTCGCTGGAAACGACGCTGTAACAAAAAGAGGGGTCGGTGCACTGCAGTTCAGATTTACATATTCTCGTTCAAATGGCAGTGGTACACCAAAAGTGGAAATTTTCTTGCCTTCAACCGTACAGTGCATGAGACATAAATCACGGCATAATTTACCCAGAAGGTCACTTAGCGCTTACCGCTATTGGAGCTCCCAGAAGAGTAGCGCTTGCGTAGAACAACGTACACAAGGATTCCGACAGCGAGCACCACAATAAGCGATATGCTTGCTGGAAGGATGACTCCCAGCTCAAGGTAAAATGGCGTTCCTTCACTCTCAATGACGAGCGAGGGCGTGGCTGACTCTGCAACGTGTAGAGGTCACATCAGCAACTTTGGCAAAGCCATTTAATAAATATATAAGTTCCATTTGAAAAGGCAAGTAAATAAAACTTGCTACTACTAAAACTAATAAAGAGTCGTATTTGTTATTCACGTAACTTCATTTTGGTGTATAGGACTTGATTCTATAACTTCATAATTAATCAAATTAAAACTTATGCTATCATGTAACTCAAAAGAGTTACATGATAGCATAAGTTGTGTGCCACTGTATTGTTTGTTTGTATGGGCTCAATGCTGATTATTTTTCGAGCGTGCTTGCCGGTTGGGATGAAGAACTCAATGCAATAGAAAATGGTGCAAATTCCAAAACTGCGTGAAAAGTAACGAAAACTCAACTTTAGGTCATGGGCCTTAAAGAGATTGTCCGGTAAACTTTTGTCGTTTAGAAAACAATATAAATTATATTGTCTTTGCTTTGAGGAATATCATCCGTGAGATCTCCGAATTTTTTAATCCTCCTAAGCAGAAGAAATTTAGTTTTATATAAAGCCCAACTGCTCCGATTGTACCTGCAAAACACACAGCGTTCTCGTTGGCAACAGCGGAAACTCTAACGTAACATCAGGCAAAGATATGCCACCTCAGGGTTTTACTGCTGACTCGGTAAAATAACTTAGGTTTAAGAAATATAAGATTTACGGTACTGAAGTAAGCTCACTTCTTCGGTGATCATCTTCGTACGCACAAACATGTTGATCAAAACCGGGAATAAGTCAATGCTCGCGACTCTGGCGTTTTCATGCCTGATGTGACGTCACGACGCGACCGGCCATGCATACTTGCGAACTTCGGCGTGAAGTATCGTACTGATGTTCATAATTGATTTTGACGAATATTGGGACATCTCCTAATGAAATATCACATATGACTATAATTAGGCCCTGTCTGCGTAACCAACGCAAAAACTTAGTAACCTGCGGATGTTGCCGCACAATTCCTATAAGTCTAACTTACTGATGTGTAAGTTTCGGGAATAAAACATCATTATGTGTAATTGCAACCTTCATTAAAAGTTCAAATCCAATCGACAGTGAATATTCTTGATTACCGCTGGAAACATAGACTAATGCGGAGCGTAATTCGCCTGCTTTTTGTGCAGGAGTTGCGATGACGTCAGAACGACGCCAAGCTTTTATTGGCTGATTGAAAAAAAAAATAGTGGGTAGATCTCAATGCTAGATGCTTTGAGGTCTACCCACTATTTTTTTCAATCAACCAATAAGAACTTGGCGTCGTACTGACCTCACCGCAACTCCTGCGCAAGATGCAGACGACTTACTCTCCGCATAATCTTTTTCTGAGATGTTTTCATGTCTTGGGCCAAAATATGGGCATGTCAAAACATCTGAAAGCATTATTAATTTATGCTTTTTTTATTTGTTTATTCTTGATGTGGAACATCACATTTTATGTGCTCTGCTGTTGGGTCATGGGAACGTGGTGCCAGTCCAACTGTTTTTAGCATCTTCAATATATTTTCCTCCACCAAGGTTGTGTTTTCTTGGAAAATACATTATATTTTATTATTTTCTTCTACTCCTTTTTTTCCGTAGCTTATTGTTGTTGTGCTTCTTCTTAATAATATTATTATGTTTATTATCGTTATAATTAAGTTTATAAAATCATCACACAAGCACGAACTGATGAAAATGTGCTATTTTGCAAAAGTCCAGACAAAATGAAATAAACAAAATATGTGCCAGAAGGTATTACCGCGTAAACGTTGGTGCCTAAATTGTCCTGCTTTTGAATGATATTACTAAAGCTTTTCGGATTATACGATTCTCTTACGGAGCGTGATGAGATTGAAAACATTCAATTTTTTGGTCGGTGTGAAAGTATACTGCTTATATTTACCTGGCGAAAAATATACTGCGCGCTGCAAAATAAAGTCAGCATTGGGGAATGAAGTACTGATTTCTGGTTTCACATTTAGAAATTAATACCTTCTTTTCAATGTGTATATTACTAGTTTAGTTACTGTAATACAATATTAAATATAAACTTGCTTTTTTGTGCATTTAGAAGTGAAGAAGCTTTACTCATTAATCGCCGAGTGCAGCGCACAGCAAACTACGAACAATAAAACATCAGCCGTTCTCTCAAAGGACTCTAAAAATAAGTGCGACTACTAATTCAGATGCGTCCAATTAGATACATTTTATATATGTGTTGCTGAATGTTCTTGACATGTATTTTTATTTATTTCCTACAGCGCCTAGAGGGCATTGCAGTAGAAAAAATCCTCATAAAAATAAAAAAAAATTGAAATTTTAACATTCAAAGGTCAGCGAGACACGTAAGTTAGACAGAAATGATATGCACAAACGGATGCACGGAGTACACAACCTCGGTTGGCAAAGAAAAGAACACAAATACAACATTTTATTGAAACATATTAATAAATGCAATGTTGGAGTTGCGAGAAAATCGAATTTTAACTTTGAAAGGTAACAATCTCGTTTGAAAGGGTATTACCTTCTCTTATTGCTCGTGGAAAAAACAATTAGGAAACACATAAGATTTTGACGAGTATTCCTACCCTTTCAGGTCATGATTTAATATACGCGATACATAAGCTGCGTCAAACAAGTAACGCGACTTTTAGATTTGTGACAAACCATTGCAAATAAAGTGAAATTCTTTTAGACGCAAATACGCGTAACTTCAAACGATTTCCATTGCAGATCATTTTTTATTGCGGAGACACTAGTATCAAAGTTCTAGTTCTTTCTGAGAAATCTATAGTGACCCGGTGTTTAATTATTTCCATTTTCATAATGAGAAACTGTGGGGGGGGGGGGTGATCCCATGCGATACAAGCATATTCAAAAATGGGCTACACGCAAGAAACAAAGATAGCGTTTTAGCAATTGCGAAGCGCGCGAGAAGTTTCTCCATAGAAAAGTCAGGGAACTACTAACGTTTCTTGTTACGTAGTTTACAAACCGTCTTAAAAACGTACTCCCAAGCCTTTCGCTTCTTTTTTAACGTCTACAGTTTCTCCGTGTAGGGTGTATGTGTATTGGCAAATGTTAAGTTTCATTGTAAACCTTTTTACGATTTGCAGATTTATATTGGGATGCACTCCGTTTTACCGTACGATGTTCCACAATGAACGCTACGGCCTACCGGCACCAATCCATAGATCATATTGTAGCTTGTCAAATGACTTCGCGCTCCTCGTGTCGCATCGCTCAACCAGAAGGGCACGTGACAACCTCTAAGCTATGGATTGGCTTGGTGGCTCGGAGCCTTTGTTATGGTCCATCGTAAGGTGAAACAAAGTATACCCCCTGGGTCATTTGTTTTAACTGAATTTTATGCTTCAGCCATGTACAATAATGGCTGGGTGTCGATTAAAATGTTAACCCGGTTAATCAACAGCCTCTAATCGATAATTAATTTAATCATTCGTTTTTGTTTATTACTGCGCACAATAGTATTAAATAAGAGTCAAAATTAAATGTTTTGTTTTGGCTGATAATATAACAAATGGCACAATGTGCAATTTCGGATTTTCAATCAGCCTAACTGAGAACAGTCAAAAGACACCCACAATAACAATGATTACTTTAGCCGCAGAGGCAGATATACTGGTTTATCTTCTCTGGCAACAGCAAACTCCTTTGAGTTTTTGACAATTGGCTCTACTGCGGTTAATGGACATTCATACGCCACTAAAGCTGAAAGGCCACGTCTCAACTTATCCACTTGTTTTGAGTTACAAATCTCCTCTGTCCAGTTTACTTTAGGTCAAGATTTCCTCTAAAGTATGCCTTTATAGAGGTGTACTCGTCCACGCCTGTGTGGTTTAAGCGTTGAATTTTTACTTTTTGTTTGTTTATCAAACTTACGCCGAATAATCGGTTAAAACAATAAATCGCGATTGAAACACTGATCAATTAATCGGTAGGATAATCCAACAAATAACACGTGCTATAATACAGGCAGTTAACTTTGAGGTATTAACACTAGCTGAGGCTTAGAACTGTAGCATCACAGTTAAACGTTCCAAAATTTTTAATGATGGAACATTTAAGCCGTAACTGTGCAGGAACCGATTGTTTAAGTTCTTTATTTTTTTACATAGTTGCTTCATTAGTGACTTCATAGAAAGCCTGTATTATTTCTGCACTAAAGATTAGCAATACACATATTCGAGAACTTCGTCGGAACCTTTGCTGGCTTCCCTGATAGAGCTATTAAGGAGCGATGTCTGCGAATCGTAGGTATAACACAAAATATACATTTCTAGAGAAGGTAGTTTTTTTCACCAGACAATTGCGTCGCAAACGCCTTGGTTGAGTTGAGTTCTCACGCGTCCATGCTATGCAGGGTAATTATAGTTCACTCCGATGAACTATAAAAGTATATTTGAAGCCTCATAGCGGTAGCCAGGGTCTTATTAAGGTACTTAACGTTGGCTAAGAGTGTAAACCTAGTCATAAATAAGTTAAGTTACTTAATTAAACGTCGGCAGCCCCTCTGAGGCTTATGTAGGCGTCTTTTGAAGTTGTTTTTACACAGTTTGAAAACTTTTTGCACTTTGTTATGAGAATTATAAGAAGTTGGGTTTTTTAAAAGCCCGTTGATAAAACAAGTAAACCAAACTTTACATCAGCTTGAATCTTTTCACCACAATGCAATAAACCCAAAATGAAAGGCTCTCTTCGCTCTTGTCTAACTAACACACTTTCTGCAGCCAAGTATATAAACTTAGAGACACGTCTGGAGATTTTGATGTGGAATATATAAGTAAATACCAGAATTAGTAGTTTTTGGTATTACAAATGAAGTATTTATTTTTGTGATTTAGACTTAAGTAAGCTTAGGTGTTGGAATCTAACGTAAATGTTTAATATTCTTAGAAGGTGTTTTCACTATGCTCTTTAAACTGAGCAGTATTAAGGAATTTGAGATATCGGGTAGCTATGCTTATTTGAAGAACTAATCTTAAGTAAATAGGTAAGATTTTAAGGTCTATGTGATCACCCTAAATTGTCCTCATTAAGCCTAAGCGCAAACCTAGCTCAATTAGCGGCTTAATATATTAACATAGAATAATTTTGACATTCATAAGAAAATAAACAACCATTTCATATATAATTTGTTTAATATTATAATGTGGCAATCCTAAAATAACCTTCGGCAAACATTCTGAAACATGCCGCAGTTCAAAATGTTGTCTAATTATAACATTGTCTGATAAAACTCACTGCATGGCCAATTTGTTTATGACATGGACTCATACTATATCTTACCTTGTATTGGTGGTAAAGTTAGAAAGTCGTATTCAGCCTCCGTAGCTCCAGCCGCGTTCTTTGCGATTACTTGCAGCAGGTATGGCACTCCAGGGATGAGATCATTCAGGACAACAACTTTTTGGTCCGGGGTGATGTTATGACCAACAACATTCCATACCTGAGTGTAGAAATTCATTTGTCAGCCCAAATTCTAAATACTCTCGAAAAATCATATTGTTATAAAAATGGTTCATCAGGTTCTTTTATATTTTTTCCAGATTTCAGTTATGTTTACGATTAAAATAGTATGGTGAGTCGTATACCTTATTTTGGATGTTAGGAACCCTGCTTAATATATGGGTACGTTACGTGCGTAGTAGGAATTATATGCATGAAACTAGTAAAGTATTTTTAACGATTGCAGCTTTTGTCGGAAGCTTTAGCGCCTTTTCGGGCTGACAAAACTCCCCGGCAAACCTCGGTGCCTAACTCTGGTCTAAGAAGGTTTTGAATTAAGACGTTAATTAGAGTCGAAGTAATTTGTTTTTGCTTTACTATGGCTTTTCAGCGGTGAGGCATAAATATGGCACTTGTCTGGGTCCAAACTTGCCAAGTGAAAACCGAACAAGCAGACATGAAGACTAATCGTGGCCTTTCCTAGCCAGCTCAGGTCCAAAGAAGCCATCTGATAAGCGACAACAAGACAGCGAAGCCTAACTCCCGCATTTGTTCAGAAATTTAGGGCCCCAATACCAAGATTCTAGCTAACGAACACCAGTGTGGTTATAACTCGGCGTTTTGAGGCATTCAAGGCCCTAATATGGCAGACAAAGAAAAAAATGTTGGCTCAAGTAACTGTGCTACTTGCGGTAGTGGGTCATATCCAGTTTATGCCGTCGAGCTGAGAGTGGTCGATCAAACCGAGTGTAGTACTCCAAGGAGAAAAACTGCTAAAAGTGAGAATGGCTGTGTCCCGAAAGTAGCATAGGTAAATGAGCACCGCTTTGTTTTTATCCCATTATTTTGTTCAATTAGTTGACATTCCATAATAATAATAATTCAGAATGCTAATAAAAACACTTAATTTGCTGATAGGTATTCAAGGAGATGCAGAGATACGTTTTAAACCTTTAAAAGCACTTAAAATAGTAACACAGGCTAAATAATGGTTAATTGTTATCCTGTTTGCAACTTTCTTTTTTGCTAGACTAAAAGATTCCGATGTCGTCAAGGCCACTTTTACAGAAAATTTCCTACCTTTGCCGCATAAGCTCATCAAATAAAAAATCAGCGGACCTCAAGCAATCCGACAATTATTCATTTGAAATCACGACAGATCATCAGCACCATGAATTACCATAACGTTTCCTGACGCCTAGATTTTTTAATATGTCAGCTACTATTAAGAGAGCATAATATTGAAACCAACAAATATATAGTTGGTATTGAGTGGAATTTCAATCTAAGACTGGAGAATAATGAAAGGGGAAATCTAGGTTCATTTTGAGCTAAAAGGTTCTTGAGTTAGGAACAACAAGACATTTCCAAGTATATCAGTTTTAAGAGTGTCAAATCATGTAATCGTGAATTTATGGCAGATACAAGTCAAACACTAATTATATATGCAAACTTACCCGGTCTTTCTGACGACGGAACCGAACCTCAAATGCGTTGATGGCGCACCCTCCATCATGCCAGGAATCCAAATGAATTGTGATCGAAGTCATATTGACGGTGATAAGTGAAGGTTTGTCAGGTGCCACAGGAGCTAATATAAGAAAAGCGAGAATCTCGCTTGAGCATAAGCTGTATGGCACACGAGAAATCTAACGAGCATGACCTCCGGGACTTATATTGAAATATAAGTAGCCATTACCCAAAATATTAGATATTTATTAAAAAGAACCTCGGGTAACTAGGAAAGGTGTTGACCAAAGAAAAGTTCAACAAAACTTTCCATCATCATGTAAAAGGCGTGCTGAGTGAAAACGTGGCTTGAGTGCAACCGTGAAGTGTGCAACCCTAATGGGAACTAATACGTTAGAGAGTTTAAAGGAATCGTTTTCGCACATCTGATAGAGTACGATAGGCCCTCCTGCACGAACAGCGCATGCGCTACCACAGGAAATTCGCATATGGGCGCTTCGTAAAGAACGGCCCATCGTACCCTATCGGATGGGCTAAAACGATTCCTTAAAACCCTCTATTACCAAGGAAGTTTTTCGTGGGAAGCACTTGGGAAGAAAATGTGACGCCAATTTGAAGTCATTAAAGTTCTACATAGCGTGGATGTTAGACATAAATGTTTCTGGTTTCTATGCGTCCAACACGAAATAGTTATATCAAAAGCACATCTGTTGCATGTTGTGTGTAGGACGGAGATGAGTTCACTGTACAACGTGTACAATGTAATTTACGTTATGGGGACATAGATTAAGCGAGCCTTTCGCGGTGCTAACGGTAGGCTCATGCAATATAGATAGCGAACGAATACCACAGAGATAAAATCATATAACTAAATTAGTCGCAATTTCGCCTGTTACATTTAAAGTAAAAACTTATTGTAGATGAAACCGACATACTGCAGGTTTTATGCTGACAATATGCAACCTCCAGAATTTTGTCACCTTGTGGGCAACACGAGCGTGAGCGCATAAATTTGGGAAGCACTTGTGTTGAGAAAGTGCCCAGGCTAACATAGCACATTTTTTCGCTACACTCTCAAATCTCTGCATTTCATATTATTACTCGAATCTTCGGTGCTAGAGTAGAGGTCAAATAGCAGGTGACTCTATTTAAATAGTTGTAAAGCGCAAATATGTTCAAACTTTTTTAACGAAGTAATAAATAAAACGCATTTTACTTAAAAGGTGGTGATGAACTTACCAACTCCAACGGTTTTCGCAGATATAATATTACTCGGCCCTCCTCTGCCCACCGAGTTGTAAGCTGCCAAGTACAGTTGATAGGAGGCTCCACAAGACAAGTTTTCAACGTTATATTCTACAACATTCCGTGGTACGTTGACTTCGTACCACTCTTCGAAATCCTTTCTGACGTGCAGCGCATATCCTGCAAAACAAAGTCGTAGATGAACAACACACACTTCATGCATATTTTTGTTACCTGTTACATTGGAAACGTATAGTCTTTTGCAAAAAACGAAAGGTGACGCGAACTTTTATTTACATATAATATCCCACTAAACCTTTCAAAAAATTTTGGTTATATTGAACTTGCTAGGCATAAGGACACAAACCAAAGACGGCATATATTAATTTTATAGCGCATAGGAGAGCTGACGGACTGCAGCGTAGATAATATTAGTGTGGTTAAAGATATATTTTCAGTGAGTGTGCTGTGAAAGACTGTTTTGCGAATGAAGTAAGGCAATGGATTCTTCATACGGATAATTCAAGGAGTTTGTTCGAGGTCGAGACATTTTTTTGAAGGCTGTGACTGGTAGTAGACCTCATCTTCACAGCAATTTGTTTTATTCCATAGAGAGCATATGCATACATTCCTCCCGTTTACCTATTATATCCAAAAGTAAGCGGCATCTATATGCAAGTTGAGTGTGCACGAGATAATACAGAAAGAACGGAACTAGAACGGTAAGCTGAAAATGGGACCTCACCAAGAATATCGTTTAGATCCGTTGCCTTCCAGGAAACCACAATTGAGGAAGACGTTGAAGAGCTTACTTTCAATGACGGTGACGTGGGAGGATCTAAAAATAAAAGTAAAACGCTGTCAAATTGTCTTTTTATCTTACCTTTTTATGGTTAACATTAAACAAATACGTTAGAAGATCTTATTCCTTGGCACGAAATGTACCTTAGTATTTCTTCTAATGCGCACTCATTGCGTACATTAATAATTACTTTAAGGTAATGAGCGAGAAACATATTTGTCTAGAAAATAGAAAAACGTTTGTAATTTTATTTGTATATTCTATATTTTGTGTAAAGCCATTTAGCTTGTGGCGTTCGCCTTCCGCCATCCGCCGCAGGTGATCAACCAGACGACTCGTTCTTCGGGGTCAAACAGGGTTTATTACCATGACTCTGGTCCAGACTCGGGGCAACAACTGCTTTCGGCCACACGGGCCATCCCTTTTCTACCCTCTCGGCGCCGGGTGCCGCCCCCCCGCTAGTCGCCGGTTTGGCCGCCGTGTGGCGGGCCGAGCGCCCCACACCTCCCCCCCCTTTTAGAGGTCGAGGTCTAAGATGGCCTCCTCGTGGGCCGGGTCGCGGAGCAGATCCGGGCGGACTTGGCGGAGGATCCGGATGGCTTCCGCGACCTCCAACGGGCGGGGGGCTGCCGGTGGTGCAGCAGGAGGTGGCGCGGCTCGGCGAGCCCAGTCCGCCGCGACGCGGGCCTGGTGCAAGGCGCCCGCGAGGTGGGTGGGGCGGTGGAGCTCCGGCACCCCGCAGACGGGGCACAGCAGGCGGCGCTCCGCCTCGTTGTATACGGCCGCGGGCTCGTGCGGGTGCCGGTCCTCCAACGTGTTGCCCCGGAAAGGCTCGGGGACGGACTTCGGGGGCGCGCCACGCTCGGGCCGGGGCTGCTCCCTCCAGCGTAGCGCTGAGGCCCAGCCCACCGGGCGGTCCTCTACCAGCACAGTCCAAGTCGCGACGGAGGCACGCTCACGGCGCGGCGGGAAGCGTGCCGCCAATCGCCTGAAATGATAGGCGTGGCGGGAACGCTCTTGGTGGCAGTGACGATCCTGCGGAGGAAATAGAGAACGGGCACACGAAGAAAAAGGACGAATTAACGGGTCTGGTTGTGATACGTCAAACATGTTCGGAGACACTCGCGAACAGAACAATCCCTTTGTGAAAACAAAGGGCAGACCCGCGGGAAGGAGATGGATCCTCTCCCCCCCTCTCCGCGAAGAGACGCAGCCAGCCAAAAAAAAGGATATGAATAGAACAGGTGATGAGTCACCGAGGGCGTAGGTTGTACCGCCTGGGCGTAGTTCCGTGGTCCAAGGGCTGGCTGGGAGCTGGGATGTCCGGGACCTGCGGAAAAACTGCTGGCTCGCAGTAACGCTTGAGCTCAGAAACGTGAATTGGGCCGTACTGCTGTGTACCATGCAGTCGTGCTAGGCGGTAGCTCAGCGGGGAAATTGTGTCCGTTATGCGAAAGGGTCCATCCCAACGGTTGGCGAGGGATGCTGCGAAGCCTTTCGACGCATCGCTGAGGGGATGTGTCCGACGAAGTACCAGGTCTCCAACCTGAAAGTGGACACTGCGGCGGCCCTTGTCGTACTGGGCGGCCTGTTGAAGACGAGCGACGTCGAGGTTCTCTCGTGCTTCACGAACGGCCGACGAGAGTCGGTGATGGACGTCCTGGGCGAACTGCGCGTATGGGCGTCCATTCTGCGCAACATCTGTGTATAGAAATGAATTTTCCATTGGGAAGGTTAGCTCCTTACCAAAGTTGAGACGGGCAGGCGTGAAACCAGTGGATCGGTTGACCGTGGTGCGCGTTGCAAATGCCATCTCGTCGAGTTTGGCATCCCAGTCTTTGTGACGGGCTGTGTGGGAAATCAACATCATTTTGAGGTTGCGGTTGATCCTCTCCGTGATGTTGGCTTGCGGATGATACGGCGAAGTCAGCTTGTGCCGTATTCCAAGCGCAGCGCAGGTGTCGACGAAAATCTTGCTTCGAAAGTACGAAGCACCGTCCGTGATGAGCTCTGCAGGAAAGCCGAATCTCGTGAAAACGGACAGAAGGCAGTCCCAGATCCGCTGCGAAAGAAGCTTCCGTAAGGGGAACAGTTCGACCCACTTGGTGAAGTGGTCAGTCACAACAAGTAGGTACTGATTTCCGCGAGGACTACGTGGAAACGGTCCCATGACATCACATGCGACAATCTGCCAAGGCGACTGGCTAACGACTGGCTGCATTAATCCTGGTGGTTGGCCTCCGCGAGGTTTCGCCTTCTGACACGCTGGACAACTGCGAGCATACTTCAGTACATCCTGCCTGATTCCTGGCCAACTCGCAACACGACATAACTTATCGTAAGTCTTACTGCCGCTGCTGTGACCCGCTAATGCTGAATCATGGAAGTACCTGATGAATGATTTGCGCAGCTTCCGAGGTATCACAATCCGGAAAGGCGATCCATCGCTGTCGTCGTCTGCCTGGGGGATGTAGCGGAGAAGAAGTCCGTCCTCGCTCAGCAGGTACGAGTCGGACTCGTCGTCGCTTCCGGTGCCGCTTGCTCTTCGTGCCGCAAGCCTCTCGCACACGCGAACACGAGGGAAGAAAAAAAAAACGCGCCAACAAACTACGCCAAGAAAACCGCACCGTCAGCGACGTGCAGACCGCGGTGATAGGCGAGCGCGCAAAAAGTCACAATGAATAAGAAAAACACGACGCGATATAGAAAAAATGAAAAACGCGAACCGCGACGAATCAACGACCGAAAAGAGATTAAGAAATGCAAAGTATAAGAAAGGGAGGACGAACCGTCTGGTCGAGATCACCGACGACGGACGACAGAGTCCACGTTGGGCGCCAGATGTGGCGTTCGCCTTCCGCCATCCGCCGCAGGTGATCAACCAGACGACTCGTTCTTCGGGGTCAAACAGGGTTTATTACCATGACTCTGGTCCAGACTCGGGGCAACAACTGCTTTCGGCCACACGGGCCATCCCTTTTCTACCCTCTCGGCGCCGGGTGCCGCCCCCCCGCTAGTCGCCGGTTTGGCCGCCGTGTGGCGGGCCGAGCGCCCCACAAGCTTTAATAGATAAATACACTTCCAACTATGTCTGGTTACAGTACATAATGATGGTGGAACTATATTTTATATCCAGCCAACACCTTAGTACATTCTGTATTTTCTTAGTGCTTAATGCAACTAATATGATTGGAATAATAAAACTCCTTCCTAAAACCACTTTCCGTATAGATATTCCTTGATGGAACTACATAATTCATGCTGCTTTCTGCAGAAAAAGTAACTACAATACAAATATAATACAATTATGGTGTGCCCTCTTAATTACATATAGAGAGATATTACGGTGATTTAGCAATGCCTACCACAATGCACTGAAGTTGTTTCAAGAATGAAAATTTGGTTTTGATAGCCAGCAGGTGCCTACTACCAAGACATATTTTGAAACGCTAGACTTTCCACCGTCTCATTGAAAAATAGCTTGAATAAAATAGCACATTTAGCGATTTATTTCGGGACGTATACTATGCTGGAAAAATATGAGAACATTTAACTGTAGAGTAAATATTCATGCACCTTTAGTCATTCACTTACCATTCTTGAGCGTCTTAACGAAGATCTCTTCAGAAGGTGGGCCTGCACCCTTGGCGTTGAACGCTTGCACTACAACACTGTAGTCTGTGTTACGTTTTAAGCTGGTGATATGACACTCGTCGTGAAAGTTAGAAGAGGTGATTTCGAGGGTTTTGTATACGTAGGTATCCGTTGTATCCTTGACCTTGTAGCCGACGTAATACCCCTTGAGAGCTCCGAATTGTACGTCCTTTCTAGGGGGCTGCAAGAGACGCATGAAAATTGGATGTCACACGTTTGTTTATTATTGTGGAAAATGTTCATCTTAAAAATTGCCAATTACGAACTACGCGTGAGCATAATACTAAAGATTTAACAGTCTGTTGCTCTCCCCGGTGGCAGTCACCTTATGGACGGAAGGTTCACAAAATTTGACAATGGAACCTTGAGACTAACATTTTAGCAATTTTATGCCATTATCTTCCAAAGTGTCACGGTCGTTTCAATGAATCGTGAAGCTGATTCAAAATAGAGTAAGTTCTCAAAGGTTGTGATTGTTATAATGCCAATTATAACTGCTATCACCTAAATGTATGGTAAAATGTATAAACTTATAGCAGTAAACATAAGAGTGTTTAGCGAAAATTGCACTTATAACATACGAAATAACATATATAATGAGTAGAAACATCGTGAGTATAGACTTGAAAAGATAAGACACTATATTAGTTGTCATGGGAATGTTCTCTCAGAACACTTGTTCTCAACATTTTTCTTTGGTGACCTGTGTGATAATCACTCTAAAACAATACGTTGTATCGTATGCATCAATTACCAGTTAAATAATCTTTGGTTTATTATTTTTAAATATTATAAAGTCAATATGAAATTAATCGCTCACATTTTTGTTTTATATGTTAATAAACTGTTTTTAATAGAACAGCCAAATATAATTTATAATCACTATTTGGTTCAAAAGATCGGTTTATCTAGCAAAAATGTAGTAATTTAGGCATTACGTGTAGGTGTTTATGGTTAGTGAACGTTGCGCTCTTACCTTCCACCATACTTTGATTGACTGGGACCCGGTCGCTTCCGCCCTAACTTTCAACGGCGGTCCTCCAGGAGCTATAAAACACGTTTTACATGCGAAAAAAAAAACTCTGAAACACTTTGGTTTTGAAAATGTCTTAAGCAACCCAGCCAACCAAGATTCAAATATTGCTCCACAGTAAACCTCAGAGTCGCTTCCATGATACAAATACTTTTGATACTATACAAATTAGAATTTGTTAAAATGTCTCTGTCGCATCAACGTTTTTGATTGGCTCAAAGTTATAGTATATTGTGCCAAGTCAGTCAGTAATATTTCGCTCAAGAATTACGTACTCACTTACAAAACAGTCAAGGCAAAGAAAAGAATGAATGTAAATGAATGTATTCCCAGTGACTTAAAAATCACTTCGTTTGTCTCATTCCTCACGACTGCAGGTTAAAGTTTCTTTAAAGCAACACATTTTGAGTATATCTATAGCACTAATAATGTGCTTTGTGAATTATAATACATTTATGAATGAACATCTACTGATGGCTGGGTTCGTTTGAAATATTTTGATTTATCTGTGGCCATTGAAAATATGGGAATAAAATGGATGTTTGGAATCCCTGAGTTGTCTCATTTCGACAGGCAGTTCTGCAGTAAATGAATTGTTAATTCGTATTGTTTTTTATTACAAATCCCTTATTACTCATGTTTTTCTCTAAGTCTCGAAGCTGTTCACGATAACCTTGTTAATCGCATATTTATTTACCCATACAATTTATTAAACTAAAAAATATGATTGACTGATGATTGGAAAATAGCCAATGTCGGGCCAGTTTTAAAGGGTGGATCTAAAGGTATTGGTTTGAACTACAGGCCGATCTCGCTTACCCCAGTGTGCTGTAAAATTGTCGAACATGTTTTGTACTCGGCGTTAATGAAGCACCTTGTTTTGATCGGCTTTCTGAATGATCAACAGCATGGGTTCCGAAAAGGTTTTTCATGTACGACGCAGTTAATCCAGTTTTATCATGATATTGCCACAGTACTTGATAATAGAGGTCAAGTTGATTGTATATTTTTAGATATCAAGAAAGCAATTGATACTGTCTCTCCATTCGGTATTACTGCAGAAACTTGAAGTTTTAAATATTGATAATAATATGATGCACTGGTTAAGAGATTACCTAGCTTCAAGGCAGCAACAGGTTGTTGTAAATGGGACATGTTCGGGTCGTGTTTTTGTAACATCTGGCGTGCCACAGGGGTCTGTGTTGGGACCGCTTCTCTTTCTCATTTATATTAATGATATTTCCCGAGGAATTGCATCAAAAATACGTCTATTTACCGATGATTGTGCATTGTACAAAGCAGTGTCTGGTGAAACGGATTTCACGCAGCTTATGAGAGATGTTAAACGAATTGAATCATGGTGTAGTAACAATAAGATGTCATTGAACGCTAGCAAGTGTGTTCTTGTGTGTTTTACTAGAAAACATAATAAATTGACTCATCAGTACTTCATTAACAATGAAAATATTAGAATTGAGCCATCTTATAAATATTTAGGTGTTATATTTTCTGAAGACGGAACATGGACAGCTCAAGTGAACAGTGTCGTTTCCAGGGCAGGCAGGGCTTTAAGTTTTTTACAGCGCAACCTTAAACATGTAAGCAAAGAGCTTAAGGAGGCAGCGTATAAAGCGTATGTTAGACCGATATTACAGTATGGTTGTCCTGTGTGGGACCCGTCTTACCAGGTTCGTATCAGTACTATAGAACGTAATCAATCTGTTGCTGCTCGGTTTGTCCTGCGAAGATACGATCGTTTCAGTTGCACCACTGAAATGAAAAAGGAACTAAGATGGGTGCATTTAAATGAGCGTCGTAAAAGGCTGCGTCTCAAATTGTTTTACTCGATTTATCACAACCAAACAGGAATTTGTGCTGCAAAGTTTCTGCACTCCCCATCTTACCGTTCTGCTCGTACAGACCATTGTTATAAGATTCAGCCGTACTTCTTCAGGACAAACATTATGAAACACGCTTTTTTTGCACGAACCATTGCGGGATGGAATTCATTGCCGGCGGAAGTGGTGTGCCGCGAGAATGTGGATCTCTTTTTTATTGCATTGTGCCCCCTGCAATAATGACTGTATAGGCGCTGCGGGTTTTTCATGAATAAAGAATAAAGAATAAATGTTCCAATTTTCAGCCTTACCTTGTTCAGGCGACCTACAGTTAAAGGAACTATTAAAATAACTATAGCGATCTGGAACAAATTCTTTTATTGCTCCAAGCCTAGAGCTGACTTAATTATAAGGAAATTTTGTAAACATCTGTTTAAATTATTTTCATATTCTCCGGCACTAACTGGCAGCCAAAACGGTACGCAGTGGTGTGTTAATTCTCTATACAATCGCAACACAACAGTTGCATCGAAAAAAAACTATATATATATATATATATATATATATATATATATAAATGTACAGGGTGTTTCAGAGAACGCAGGCCAAATCGCTCCTGCGAAAACTACTCATCGCAACGAAAAAAGGCTTGTGCCGTTTTGGTCGTGCGATGCGTCGCGCGATGACAGCGCAGCAGAGGTTGGTGGCACTATCTCAACACGGGGCGCGGTGCCGTCGGGGCTGATATGCGCTCTGATAGCAAACCGAAACTTAAAAACATGTCGATTTTGTGCGGTATTTCAGAAAGCCGTAAAATGCTTCGCGTGCCTTCTATCGTTCGGCAATTTGTTGATTCAGTGTTTTTCATTGATGCTGAGCAATTTTCTAATTTAAACCATGCCCTTAAACACAATATCAAAAACGTTAATTAAGCAAAAATAATTAACCACTTAATTATCCCGGACTTTCATATTCTCCTAAATGGGCCCCTGGCCGAGGACCGAAACGCCACAAGCCTTTTTTCGTTGCGATGAGTAGTTTTCGCAAGAGCGATTTGGCCTGCGTTCTCTAAAACACCCTGTATATATATACATATATATATATATATATATATATATATATATATATATATATATATATATATATATATATATATATATATATATATATATATATATATATATATATATATATATATATATATATATATAGATATATAAAGGTGTAGGAAAAACACTAGCGCCAGCAGAGGGTGTCAAACACGCGAGCTGCGACGGCAGGCAAAAACACTAGTTTCCGCCACTGAGGCATCTGCGCTTCGTAACTCGAGAACCAAAAATCTGGTGAACATGCGGTTCGCGCATGTTCACCAGATAAAATATATATATATTTTTTATCTGGTGAACTGGCGAAATTTACGATTCGCGCATGTTCACCAAAAATAATATATATAGATATGAGTGTTTTCACCTCAAATCGGGAAACCTAAAAGGGTCTAATTTTTTATTTTGACGAAAAAAAGGGATGTTTTGGGGGTATTTCTCAAATGAAGGAGGGCGAGAACCGCATGTCCACGAGATTTTTTGTTCTCGAGTTACGAAGCGTAGATGCCGCACTGGCGGAAACTAGTGTTTTTGCCTACCGTCGCAGCTCGCGTGTTTGACACGCTCTGCTGGCGCTAGTGTTTTTCTTACACCTTTTTAAAATGTTCCTCTAACTTAATACGAACTATAAAGATCCCTTGACGTATTCAAATATTTTAGGAATTCTATTGTTTCCTAAACAAAATGTCAAGCTCGTCACTCAGGTTGAATTTTGGTCAATTTCGACATGTCATTACTTTGTCTGTCCTTATGGTATATTTTTTCTTTGGCTTAACAGAGAGCCCAAAAAAAAAACCCATTATAGATATAATAATATCATGATCTGTTGAATAGCCGCTCCGCTACCTTGACGTAAACGTTGTAAGAAATAAGAAACGTTGAACGTTTGAAGTCGATTTTCTCAAAAACAACATTTTTGTGAATTTTTATTTTTAAATCCTTTTATATATATAGTCGACAATAAGGAAAAATAATCTAGAAATGTAATATTATGGTTGTATGTCCTCTATTTGAGCCGCAATGGCGTGAATTGTGTGCTCATTTCACTAAAATGAGCACACATTTCACGCTTTTGCGGCTCAAATAGAGGACATTCAGCTAAAATATTAAATTTCTAGATTGTTTTTTCTTGTAGTCGACTATTATATCTAAGAGAATTTAAACAAATAAAATTTACAAATTGGGTGTTTTTGAAAAAATATATTTCAAACTTTCACAAACAAACTTCAAACCGGCATTCTGCGCCTCTACGATTTCGAAAATATGATTTTTCTTTTTTTTTGCGTTTTCAAAAAGAAACGTAAATAGGCGAGCTTGTGATATTCTTTGTAATTTAAAACTTGAAATAAAAGAGAAACCACATAAGCACACTACAAAACAATGAGTAACAAGTACATGCAAATCAAAAGGGAACACAACATGACAAAACTTGCCTCTTTATAGAACGGTTCAAAGTAAACGAAGGTGGCTACTCCTTAAACAGCCTATTACGATCGAAGGACACGTTCTCATATTATTCAAGTACTGTACATAACTCTTCGGGAAATATGCGCCAGGTTTTGTTATCGTCACATCTTGCTGACCGCCGACGGTTGACTGCACAGTTCGAGCACCTCAGTAATGTAGAAACGCGCGCGCAGAACCAGTAAAAAATACAAAAAACATCGATGGCACATTTTCCGAAGTCAGTACATTTTTTTACTTGTTCGACGTAACTGTGAATCAGTTTCGGCACTGTGTAGGAGCCACGGAGCTCACAGTTGCAGTTTTGAGCATGCCGGCACGCACTCACTGATGATTTTCTAAATTTCGGGACACAAAGTGGTACGTGCATGCCTTGACACGTGTATGCAGCTTCTCTGTGCTTTCGCAGATCTTTTCTAGGGCAACGTTCAAGGCGCCTTCCTCCTCACGTGTGAGGATCGGATGCCTCTTGGTGGGTTTACCTTCTCCCACTCTTTTTTTCTTGAGCTCCCGAAAAGGCGTGAGCTTCTCTTTGGCGATTGAAAGTAGAACAATCCCTTTGTCTTTCGGTCTGACTGCCTCAACGAAGCTCTGCGCATTCGTTACGGAGTACAATTCTGTAGTTATGAAGTCATAGATGGATGCCTGGTGCTTGAGCACACCGCTCACTCCATCACACGAGCTTTTCCCGTGCCCTGATGCGGAGAATATCCATTTGGCGACGACACTCCTTTTTTTTAAAATTCGTACACCTGGTGCCTGTTTTTGAAGTGGCTTGGAGCACCGTGTGAAATATAAACGAGTTGCGTAAAAATAGGCAATAGTTCTTCCAGCCGCGCTTCGACGACGTTGAGCACAATGAGCGCATGGGATGAGTCATGGACGATGTCGTTGCTAACTATGTAGCCACGCAGGTAAAGATGGAAACCAACTTGATCTTCCAGTGATGTCCTTGCACCGCGCGCTTGATGACGACACTCCAATTTTCAGCGAAATTAAAGTGCAAGATGACGGCACGTTGACTTCACATACGCTTTCTGGAGCCATGTGGCTCTTCGCTGGGTGCGTCTGATGAAGTCTGGAATGTTTTTTTTTGTCCACTTTTGAACCTCGTAAAAAGAGATTCCATAAGATGTAAGTACAGATCTGAGTGGTGTGAGAATTTATCATTCAATCGCAATAAGCTGTAGAATGAGTATTCACCCCCGTCTACTTTGAACCAGACTTTATAGAAACAATTTTTGTCATGTTGCGTTTCCTTTTGATTTGTATGTACCTGTTACTCATTGTTTTGTAGTGTCCTTATGTGGTTCCTCTCTCATTTCCAGTTTTAAATTACAATGAATATCACAAGTTCGGCTACTTTATGTATCTTTTTCAAAACATAAACAAAAATAAAAACATATTTTCCAAATAGTAGAGACGCACAATGCCGGCTTTAGTTTTGTTTGTGAAAGTTTGAGGCCACCTTTCTCCAAAAAAAAACATTTTTGTAAATTTTTACTTCTTGAGATTTCTTTTAGGTATAATAGTTGACTACAAGAAAAAAACAATGTGTAAGTGTAATATTTTGGTTGTATATAATCTATTTGAGCCGAAATCGCGTGAAATGTATGCTCATTTTAGTCAAATGAGCACACAATTCAGGCGCTTGCGGCTCAAATAGAGGATATACAACCAAAATATTACATTTGTAGATTTTTCGTTCAGATAGTTGACTTGTATATCTCAAAGAATTTAAAAATAAAAATCTACAAAAATGGGATTTTTGAGAAAATCGACCTCAAACTTCAACATTTGTTATTTCTTACAATGTTTACGTGAAGGTAGCGGAGCAGCTACCCAGCAGATTATAATGATATTATCATATCTAAAATGGGCTTGTTTTCGGCTTTCTATAAAGCTAAAGAAAGAGAATTTCGGTTAAGTGCAGACAAAGTAATGACCTGTCAAAGTTGGCCAAAAATCTGACTGACGAGTTTGACATTTTTTTAGAAAACAATTCAATTTCTAAAAGATTTGAATACGTCAAGGTATCTTTACGGTATCCATTAAATGAGGGGAAAAAGTTAAAAAGGTGTAGGAAAAATACTATCGCCAGCAGAGGGTGTCAAACACGCGACCTGCGACGGCGGGCAAAAACACTAGTTTCTGCCACTGCGGCTTCTACGCTCCTTAACTCGAGAACAAACATTCTGGGGAATATAAAGTTTGCGCCCCCCTTTATTTAAGAAAAGCCCCCGAAACATATATTTTTTTCTTCAAAATTAAAAATTAGACCCTTTTAGCCTGCCCGATTTCAGATGAAACCACCCATATTACACATATATATATTTTTTTTTTCTTCTTCTCAGTTATATACCCACGCCTTCGGCCTCGCGCCACCATTCCCGTTATATATATATATATATATATATATATATGGATATAGATATATATATATATGTATATTTATATGTATATGCAAGTCAAAGATGCGTACTGTCGGAGTTACTAATGCGAAGTTTATTACGACGTCGTAGAGTGGTCCCAGCTCGAAACGTCGTAATAAATTTCGAATTAGCAACTCGGACAGTACGCATCTTTGACTTATTAACTTTTCCCGGTCCATCGTTTTTATATTTCCCTTACTTCACCTATATATATATACGTGAATTTATATCAGCCCTTTTCTTGTCTAAAAGTAAAAAAGAAATGCAGTTGTAGACGATAAGGGCTATTGATTTATCGAAGGAAATAGAATTCAAAATACAGTTATGTTCACTTAACTTGTGCTCGTAACTTTAGGAAGTGACACATACAAATAAACCGGAGCCACTTATTTTTTAAAGGATCAGGCAAAACCTGAAGTGTTTGTTTTAAACGGTGATGTATAGTTTCATTTCTTAAAATTACCTGCAAACGAAGGCTCAAATTGGAACGTTTCTGGAACAATATAGTGACTACCTTACGAAGCCCATTTGTAGGACGTACAATCACGTAATCGTAGCAATCTAGAGCCCAGGACGGAACTTAAAGCAGGAAAAAAAAAAGCAGAATAGCACTCGGATTTTGACTAACCTGAATTGACCAAAATTACAAAAGAGATGCAATGAAATTGAAAGATCCTTTACTCGACAGTAGCGCTAGTGTATAAAGGGGCATATAACAAAAAAAAGCGGTAGGTATGATTATGACTACATGTTGATATCGTGACCCACAATGCATACGACTTGTATGTATCGGTGATAACAACTTCTTTGTCAAATTCATTTTCTTACGTCAAGCACGTCGCTGTGCTTTTCACATTGATACATACAACTTTTTTGGAGACAAAGTACATCTGGCCGAAAGTCATAATATGATATCCAACACTTTGATATGATCATCGTAATATAACTTTTAAGTTTTCCCTATGTTCGCGTGGCCTAACTTCTTCCTTACAGTCATCGGTCAACTTAAAGCAGAACCAAATAGGGCGTATTTTCGACGTATTTGAGCTCGTTTGTGCTGACGTAATCTCTACGTATGGCGCACGTCGGGATGAGAGCTACCTCAGTGAATCAAGATCGGCGTAAATATATGGGTTTGCGGTGATCCTACCAAGACCGATCTAGGCATTTCGGCGACTTTCGGCGGTGCGTATCTCAAAACGTACAGCGTCGTGCCGCCCAGTCAGCTCACAAGTTGACAGCCGGGGCTTGCTCGAGGATCGGCTAGCCTACTTTTTCGGCCGGCTGACTGGCTTGGCTAAGTCGCCAAAGTCGGGTAGTCGCTTTTCCCGTTTGACGGTTTATAAGCGAACTGCATGGAATTGCTACAGCTCTTTCCAAGGAACGATGAACGTCTGAGACAGACGAAAATAACTTCTATATGACTAGCGATGTCAAAAAAAGTATATATAAAAGGAAGGGCTTTGAGCAGAGATCGCAGCCGTCTTCCTTTTGGAGCTTTCATGCAAGTGGCGATTGCAGGGCGCACCTCTGCGAGAAGCGTTTGGAAATTGGGATCTCGTCGTTGATGAACATTCAGTCAGTTGTGTTATTTCGCGGAAAAGAAATGTAGCAGCCGATTTACATATTGCCTCGTTTCATAAAAAGCGCGAATTTGGCTACACTGCACCAAACGCCGAAGAGTTGCCGACGAAAAGCGCCGAGTGTGGTTTGGCAACCTTGCCCTCTTTCCTTCTGTAATAAAAGCCCCCATCAAATGCTGTGAGTACGACCGCTAAAACGCGAGTCAGTGTGTCGTGAACATATCTTATCTGGGTCGGCCTTTAGTCTGCATTACAGCTTGAAACAAATACCAGCATGACGCAAGTATGTTGGGGTTAAGACTTGGCCATTAAAAACAAAAGCGGACTCACCTTCGACATCTGTTCGGACATGCGTTTCCGTGCTGGGTTCGCTGTGTCCCAAGGAATTGACGGCAAACATTCTGATGACGTACAGGGTTACCGGATGCAAGCCTCTAATCTCGGCGCTAGTTTCGGATCCGGGAACGCTGATGTTCATAGACTTGTGGTGCCAAGACTCTGGAGGCAAAATTTGTTCGGCTCAGAACCCACACTAAGACAAAGACGCGCTAATCAAGCCGAATATTTTATGGCTAAATGTAATCCACTAAAATTTTCTTAATTGGTATGTTCATTTAAAACTTAAAACAAAGTACATTGAAATTATATTTCATTCCACAGGTAGAATTTTAACCATTCACTTTTTAAGTACACCTAAGTCGCCGACAGGGTCGACAGGTGAACACGACCACTAAACAAAAACGTTCACTAAAATAATATTAAAAGCGTACTTAAGGTATTGAACGTATACTCAAATGCACTTCAAGTATAGCCGTTTCTTTAATAAATGGACACATTTATTGTAGTTTAACTTGTTTGCTTTTATGTGAGGATAAAACAAATTTTAGGAAAATGTTTTTTCCTTTTGTTTTATCATCTGTTCTCTTAAAGATTACTCTCGAAATAAAATATCGAGCAACGGAGATGATGGGAAGGCGTCTTTACTTCCTGGTTTCTTAAATTCCATATCACTTAATATTTAAGGAACATAATAAATACTTCATAATTAGCGGCAGTGTATGGGAGTATCAACAGGTAGGTCAGAAATAAAGTAATTGCTCTCCAGTGGACGGATTTCACTGAAGAAGCCATTCGCTTTCAAAGCGCAAAGAAAAAAATAATGAAGAGCGGAATATTAAAAAAAAATAAAACCGCCTTTCCACTCTCGTGAAGAAGGAAGACCAGCGTAGCTGTACTCGATACACTGTGTGCTTCTTCTTCGTCGTCGTTTGCTTTTGGCGCTGTTTCCTACGATAAATTCCCACCAACGCGCCCAACTATCCATTTTTCTATCATAGCTGGAAAGGTTGCCGCCATCGACGAGCGCCGGCGGAAACCATACTGGTTGTGTGCTTGCCGCCGTCGCTTATAAGTGGCGGTAACTGTCCAGGTAGGTTTGTGTCGACATACACGGACACGATCCTGGGGAACCTAACCCTAAACAGCTCCGCTGTAAAAAAAAAAAAAAAAACACACACAAATAAACATTACTAACTGTAGACATCGACTTTGAGGACCTTTATAGGTTTGCATTGAACCTACATTGAGAAATTATTCAAAGTGCATTATAAGAAAAAAAAAACACGGATTATTTCAATTGGATGTTTTACCATACTTACCAGAGTCCTCCCTGTACTGCAAGACGTACTTGACCACGGGACTGTTTCCACTGTAAGGCGTTACCCAAGACAACTTGACATGTCTGCTGCCGTATTCTAAAAGCTTTACCTCCTGAGGACTGTCCGGGGGTTCTGAAAGACGCAAGGTCAAACATTGGGTCGATAGGAATATGCTCCCAAGGTGATAAAAACCAAATATATTTCAAAGACAAATATTAGGATTTACTAATAACGAAGAAAATGAGACACTAACTCTCAGCTATGGTTATTTAAAGCGACAAAAACAAAGGATGAATGCTTTAAGCAGGTAAAGCACAAAACACACATTCGTCAACATACCTACTTAGTCACGATATAAAAGGGATATTTTAGAAAACTATTGCTGTTCATTCATGCCCGATCGAATTAACGCAACTCTTTAATATGTAAAACTAGGGAGCAGTGCGAAGTTCACAAAAATATTAAACTAAAATCTCTAAGATATTTGTGCTCACATTTTTACAGATCTTGACCTCAATTGAAATGTTACTACAGGCTAAAATCAATTGCTGGGCTAGTTGATTATACATCACATGTACCATAGCGCAAAATGAGCGAAGCAGGAAAGGAACACCACAAGCGTTTGTGCTGTCACTTTCATGTTCCTGTACTCTTGCGCTATTTTATATATCAGATAATTATAAGACGTGTGCTATACATTTGACCTGCAGTGAAAGAGGTGATGGCCTCCAACAGTGGCTTTTCTCTAATAACTCAAGCAGGCAGAATCCGTAATGATAGCCTTAGATCAGATAGGTATTCTCCAGTTCAGGGTCGAAGTTCGCATCTCTCTAGATGCAGGGCGTAAATGTGTCACTATACTTCTAGTAATGTTAGAAATATGCAAAAGCACAAAAAAGGGGGTAACAGAGAAATAATGGACCTTCTTATTTTATGTAGGGCTGAACGTTGCTTCGGCGAGTGATCTGAGTGTTTGCATATTAAAGCTAACATTTCGAATTCCACCATAAATGGGCGGCAGTAATATTATCAAAACCATACACCCCGAACTATGATCGTGAAGGCCTTGTAGCCCGTGTGTAGTCTTTCTTTTTTATATTGTTGTTTTTTTCTTCACAAATTGAATGTGTAGTTGCGAATCAGCCTTTCTTGTGTACGGTATGCGTCATGTCTCCTACTTGGTTTTTAAGTGTTGAAACTTGATGATGTTTAAAAAATGCAGTTTAAAATTATTTTCTAATAAACTATTTATGGTCGTCCCGCGTTGGTTCTTAATAAAAGCTAAGTTTTCTGGTCCCTGACGAAATCAGGTTTATTAAATTTAACAACCGCTAAAATTGCTTTGTAGATTTTCTATTATTTATACAGCTATATTGTTACATAATGAAGCGTAACTTCTGATAATGTTTCGTAATTCAGAAGGTCATATGTTTAATTGAATTTGCACACCGCCGGATTTTATGTATTAAAAAAGATTTTTTCCCGTTCTGTCATTATCTCTTTTTCTTATTTAATTCACCCGAGACCGTAAGATTCCAGATCGCGGCTTTTGTGAATGTTGGGCATGAGAAGACTAACTGATGGTTAATCTCCTCATGCTCCGTATTTAAAAATCTGCAAGTAACCCCGAACGGCATTCTAACTGTAGTATTTTTCTCGCAAAACACAACGGTTAGATTTAACATTGATATATCAAAGTTTCCTCAACAAAAATGGAAAGGATAGGTTAAGTGGGAGATGCATTAGAACTATGAAGTTTGTTGCTCTGTAGTAGCATTACAAACTTTCAAGGAAAGGTGATCAAACGTTAATTTCTTTAAAAAAAATAATATGTGATTGGCAATAAGATGTCAGCGAACATGGCGACCAATACTCAGTTTATAATTGAAACTCACCTTGAAGTATCAGCTGCATGTTAGTGTCGTCGGTGCCATACGAGTTACGCGCTAAGCACGTGAATAAGGCAGAATCTCGTCGATCGGCACCGCGGATCGTGATTTCCGACACGATTCCTCCAGAGAATAGAGTTTCGTTAAGTTCGTACCTTTAGAAGAAATTAAAACAAAATGGCCCATTAGGTAATACAGTTTATATTTCCAACAAAAACAATTACAACCCTACATGGACGTTCGTTTCTCGACACACTTTACAAACCTTGTGTCATCAGGAACCTCACAACTATATCAGGGTCATACATGGACCTCTACGGAACAGGCTTGCATGACACCAATGCGCTGCGTAGATCGGGGTAGTCCACGTTGCCGTAAATCACAAAAAGTTGGTGTCGTCAATTCAGATGAATATAGATAACGCTTATTGACTTTGGAATACCGTTGACGAGCCCAGACAAAGTGCTCTCACAGTGGAAAACAAAAATGGAAACACGTATTAAGCGCTTCCTTCATGAAAATATGCACTAAAAATGCTCATAACTAGAAACTAGCAAAAGCGCACTGCGACTCGTGAGAACTTTATAAAAGCTGCAAAGAAGCTCGCAACGACGATTCAGATCCTTTTTTAAAGCCTTGCATCTCCACCGTGGAGCTTTTTTTGAGTTATTGCATACTTCACTGAAGGTGGCCGCGGTCCCAATGAAGTCCGTGAACCAAACTATGTAAAACGCTGGTATAGGAGGTACGCTATAAAAAGGTTTAAACGTGCAATATATTTCTAGACGAGAGTACTAAATGTGCCTATCACATTAAGGAGATCAGGCGCACTTCATCTGGTGTTCAAAAAATACTGCTAAAAGCGAGCCCAAAAAATAGATTCCGGAACCAGAAACACGTAATTGTTTATGATTAACTCGTAGAAATGGGGCTTGCTGGTGAAGTTACGGTGTCTGTCTGTTTAAAGCAAACCTCCTTTTTGCAGGTGTTTCTAAAGGAGCAATTCACGTTGACTGGCCCTACGTTATATTCTTTCTGCTACAAAAATTAGGTGGTAAGCTTTCTAGTGCCTGAAGAAAGCAAATCTCAGTTAGTAATTCCAAGTCATGAGCAATGGTTTGATCCAAATCAACCCTTTAAAGTTGAAATTCAGTCAATGCTTTTATGCAAAGCCTCTTGGCCTTCCACATGCCTTGTTTTTCTTTTGCTATTAATGAAGGATGTTAGTAGCAGTAATTTTGAATAGAGCCTTTATTGACCGTTACGCTAAGTGTCAAGACCGTCAAGACTTTGTCAGTTGTAAAACGTTTGATACAATTGTTTATGTTGATGCCCTCAATACATATCCGTACCTTTAAAAAATCATAATGTATGCGTGCCCTTAAAAAGGGCATCTTAGATACACATGCAGACATTAAGGATTACTGAGTAAATCATCTTCTAAATAACTGCAAATTCGTATTCCGAAAAATTGAATCGCATTGACAGAAAGCAGTAAAATAAACCTAGACAACGCTGTTTAGCAGTACACATACCTGGGATCTTCTTTTGGGTCAAAAGGTTGCTTGTCTCTCGTCCACGTTATGATAACAGGCTTGTCACCGAAGGCCTCACACTTTAGCTTCACCAAATGTCCTCTCTGAACACTCTCAGCCTTGAACTTCGACTTGAAGTGGGCTGCCACTGTAAATGAACAAAACAAACAGGAACGAATTCAATATTGCATCCAATGTTTCGGGCTTTCGAAGACTTCGAGTTACCGGCAGCGTTTACATGGATGCCAAGTCCACTGAATCTAGAGGAAACCAATCACACGCGCCCAGCCCCTCTGCTTCATTCTCTTCTATCCACTCACAATTGTGATACGTCGAATCGGTGCGCTACGGTCGCATCCATGTATTTGCGGCTACTGAAACCTTGTAAGCAGAAGGGGGGGCTTGTTATGGTGACGTTTCTTGCTTTGTAATTGGCTCTTGGCTTTCTTATTGGCGAATGTTGCAAGCTTAATGGATGCGGAGCGATAGTACGATGCTCGTGATTCGCCGTAGCCTGCGTTTCTTAGGCTGTCAGCGAGAATGATGAGATAAAGCGAGAGAGAGAGAGAGAGGTATAGGAGGAGAAGAAAGCGTCAGGGACGTCAAAGCGTCGCGCTCTAATGGGAAAATGGTTAGCGAGTAGTCGCCCAGTCCTTCAATACGCTACTTGTCACGAGTTCTTGGTCAATGTTTGGTACAAGGTCGCTAGCGGCCGCGAGGGACACTACTTGGCCTACACCCTAAAAATAAAGGGTATCGCCTTACACTCTTTTGTCCCGTATAATGCACCCCAAAACTTCATTTCGACGTACAGCGCTCTATAGTCAAACGGACGGCCCCAAATTTTACGAGGGGCTTGATAACGGTATGGTGCCTGGATCGCGTCTTCGACTGGTGTGTTTAGCGTCCTATCCCGCCCATACATCAAAAGTGGTCCCAATGTGGCAACAAATGACGCGAGTGTCATGCTGTTGCCTGTCGCGATCCTGGCGGTTGGCCGTAGAAATGCTGGCGAAAAGCACGAGCGAACGCGAGTGTCGCTTTCGTCACGGCGTCCCTTTAGGCGTCCCAACTTCCGGATGCTCCAGCTTCCGTGAACTGTCACAGTGGAAAGCCACCTGCAGCAGAACAGGCGCCTGCCACTTTTACCACAACTGTTGGGGCGCCGCCAGGGTCGCACCAGGCGACAGCATGACATTGCTTTGACGTCATCAGGCGGAAATCGAGGGACCACTTTTTTGAACCCGGTAAACACACCAGTCGGAGACGCGTTCCAGGCACCATAATAGCGGTGCGATATTACTTCTTAAATTGCTAAAGTACGTATCAAAAACCAAAGAAATGGAAACACGGAGTTTTTGCAGTAGCGCCAAGAAAACTCTAATAATCTTTTTCGTATTCAATAATACGTACATTAGCTATTTTAATAAGTTGTACCTCCCGGCTATCAAGCTCCTCGTAAATACTTGGGGCCGTCTGTTCGATTATAGTGCGCTGTATGTCGAATCGAAGTTTTGGAATGTATTATATGGGACAAAGGGAGTAATAATACACCCTTTTTTTCTGAGAGTGGGAGAAGCATTTTCGTTTGGCAACCCTACTAACAATGATCCATCGCGAATTCGCTATTACATAAAGTTTTCAAAAACCCCTTCCCTTGCACCGAAACTGTATTACGCTTGTACTTGATCACTGTACGCAAGCGTCGGTCGTTCTTGACTGATCTCTAACGAGAGAACTCACAAAATAAAAATTTCAAGGTTTAAAAAAAAAGTTTTCTTGTGTGGGAAATAGAGCTAGGCGACTCAGCGTGCTGGTTCGCATTGCCTCTACTAGATGGCGCTAGTCGGGATATTATTTTGGAGATTTGTGCCAACATATGGGATTGAGCAGTTGATTGACTGTAGAGAGCTGAAGACGCTTACGTTAACGAGAAATGCTCAGAGTGCGATTATATTATTTCTCTACTGATAAAGTGGGTCGTTCAGAATGGGTTCAAAATTCCGACTCACTTCTCGCTGCCAGACTTCCAGCAGCGCAGGTAAGATTGGCGGCTCATAGCCCCTTTGTCGATGCTAGCAACAACTCATGGTCGCGTACCAAGCCCTTCCATAGCGTTACGGATACGTTACGTGGCCAGTAGCGTATTGAAGGATTTGTAGACGCAAATGCTACGGTCACTGACAGATTGAGAACAGCGGGGCGTCTGTTACGAACACCTGGCTTCCAGCACACGCTTCGGGTCTTCCACCGTACTTTTGCTACGTACAGTGCAGACAAAGGCAGTCTATGTCTTTACTGTACTCGTCGAACGCATCAGATCACGGAGCGCCGGAGTATGGTGTTTAGCTCTCGCATTCGAACGTTTTCAACGAGTTCGACGAAATTTAGGTCTACCCAATAATCACTGCAACCAAAGCTCGGCGTTATGACGTCCCCGCCCGGTCATATCTCCTCCTCGCGCTAAGTTTCTCAGCGCATAACTTTTGCGTCTACTCATTCTAACTAGAGCTCGGTGCTCTGACACTCCCGTGCTCCCTCATCTCCTCCTCGCTCTCTTCGTTTTTCTCCCTATTGCAATCGCGTAGCAGTTCATTTCACAAGTTAAATTGATGCGTATTGGTAGCAATTCTTATGCAGCGAAGCTTAGGTGTGTACAGCAAACTAATTGGCAATTGCGCTCAAAGGTAAAAAGTAATACATAAGATCAAAGAAAAAGGTAAATATTTAAACTGTTAGATTTTGAAATCGCTGGTTACGGAGCACAAGCAACCAATATCCACCCCTAACTAATAACTTTATTATAAGGCCTTACCGCATTAGGTATGTAGCATAACGACGACGCAATGAAATATTTTCTGCTATATTTTATGTCACGATGAAACCTTGCATTTTGCGTTCTCCATAAAACTACAATTTATTTTAACGCAGTGCTTCTCGGGACGAATCCCAATCCTTCTAACAAAGGCCGCCGTTTTTTTTGTTTTTTTTTTTAGCGTAGCCTAAATTTATTTTTGTGTCTGCCTTTTTTTACTTTTATTGTTGAGCCGTCCTAAACATTTCTTTGGCAGGTGGCCAACTCTGGTACTTTCCATTGCGCCACGCGCTTGAGGAGATCACGAAATCCGTGTTGGGTTCTATAAGACAATTGTGCCTCAATAGACAAATCTACGAATCAGTTATGAGTGTCATCCTTACCGTGGACTGAGAGCTTGACCACTTTGCTGAGGACGGGCGATATGCCGTTCGACGCCTGGCACAGGAAGAAGCCCGCGTCCTTCTCGTCGGAGTTGTGCACGGCGAGGGACCCGTTCTCGAAGACGTGGATTCTCGAGCTGCTGCTGATGGCCCTGTAGTCTCCCGGTTCGTTCCCTGTGAGACGCACGTTTCACGCGTTCACGAAGCGCATTAAATATACGCTTCTAGATATGTATAAAGAGCGTGGCACGATTTATATTTTGCAGCTATCAACCTGGAGCTAGTCTCGAGCAAGTTTGTGTGAACCACCCTACCATTTTCCATTTCTTGGTTTTCGGCCTAACTAGTTTATGCATTCTTAGAATACCTATTATTGTACTCTTGCAGTAAAATTTAAAAGAAAAACTAGTTGGTCCCTGTATATTTCTTCCCACATTGATCATCAATTCGATTACGGTATGCAGTCTCTCATTAACGAGCACCCCACGCTTCCTAGACAATGACCTTGAGTTGCAGTAATATCTCTCGACTCATTTCGAGCAGCAACAACTTGCGAGCTTTGTGACTATTTGCCTGACCACTCACGATTTAGGATGGCTCTGTAGTAGATTGTTTTTATTTTTAAATGGTTTTATTCTACTATTTTTCTCTTCATTGCTCAAAGGGCCGTACTAATATTGAAATAAGAAAACAGATAAATATGTGAAACATAAAAATTAAAATAAATTAAATAATTTAATAAAAAACTAGCCAACGCCCGCAGAAAACAAATCAAAAGAAGGCAGACATACAAGATTTACTGGTGCTAAACTTTGTATTGATAATTTTTGCAAAGTTAACCGCGGACGGAATATATATGTAGGTATTTGTGTATGAGTATTTATATTGTCATAGGCTGTTCGCAGATGTACAGGGGCACTATGGGTAAGTGTTTATGTGCTGAACACCAAATTAAATTTTCCGCGTAGTTCAGTCTGGAACTTTTTCCTCTCGGTTTTGCGGGCATTTAACTCATTCTAACGAAAATCACGATCAAAGTGACAAGACCTGCCGTTAACAATGTTTGTTGACAATGTGTTAGACCTAACATTGAATTACGTGCAAAACAGGCTCTAGATGACGTAAACTAAAACTTGTACATAAATGGGCACGAGTCAGACTTTGTTGTAAGTGTTCTTCCGATATCCCGTGTCATACACAGCCAGTTCTCTTACAAAATGCTGACCTTAAGAATCTTCGGGCTTTGCCTATTATGTCGACGAATCCAGTTTTGTGATTTGTTTTGAATTATTTTCTTTTTTCTGATTACGCCATCATGTCGTTTTCTGCGTGGAGATAAAATTAACGGAAGATTCATTGGTGGATCCATAGGGAATGCGTTAGCATGACCGTTGGGAAACGTCACACACATCCCCCTTCGAGAAACTGTAATGCTAAAAGCTTTTACTTTTCTGTTTTTCCGTTCTCTTTTGGCTTCCTCTTTTGCATCCTCTATTTTTTGCTCCCGCTTTTTGGCGTCGTTATTGGGTCAGTGTTAGCGTTACCAAAATGGGATCTGTGCGTCGTTTCCCGAGGGTCGTGCAAACGTTTTCCGTAAGACTGCAACCATGAATCTTCCTTTCATTTTTTACAGCGGAGGTGTTAAGGGCTAGGTTCCCCAGGGTCGTGCCCGGTACCAAATAAATGTCGACACAACACTCTGGTTGCCGCCGTCGCTCATAGATGGCGGTAGCTGTCCATAGTGCTGTGTTTGCCGGTTGTCTGCTTGCCGCCGTCGCTCATAGATCGCGGCAACCTTTCCAGCCTTTCCGCTCTGGCTTGCCGACGTGCGGACGGCCACTACTTTATTCCCACCATAGTACAGCTGTGCTGGTCATCCTTCTTCACCAGAGTGAAAAGGCTGAAAATATTTTTTTTTTCACCGAATGGGATCGCCGAGCCCCCTTCGCTCCAGACTCTATCGCACGAGACCCGCGTCGGCTTGCCGCTTCTTTCGCATCCGCTGCCTGACGCTGCTTTCGCTGTTCACCAGTTTCCCGCACGCGCATTGGCTTCCTTCCCGTGTCAGCGCCCCCCTCTCGCCTTTGTAATTCAATGCACTCCTCCTCTCTACGCGGCGCGCATCCCTTTCCCCTGTTTGGCCCACAGACGGACGGCATTAGTTCTTCGCTGTCCAGTAGGTGCTAATGCTAACGAATTAAATAAGGTGGTCAAAACTCGCCACTCACTGCGCTTCTTAAGATGTCAGTGACTAAGCCAATGCCGATGGTTTCATAAATTAATTGGTGGAGGACTAAAACAAAAACTAAATAATATCAGGGTACATATCGTATGACACAACCTGTGTTTAATTTTTTTTTATTAATGTTAGGTTTCACTGCGCTAGTTTCCCGTATATGTGTCCTGGTTCTCAAATATCATTTTACGACGTGCCACTGAAGGTATTAATGCAGTGATCAGTAGTCGCAGCGCTTCTGCATAAATTAGTTTATCATCGGAGACTCTACTGCAGTTGTTGTTTGAAAAGTAAAAAAAAACAAAACAACCTAGATTAGAAATAAAAACAGAATGCTGTCACTAAAATGTATGCCCCCCCTCCCCCTCCTTTCCCCCCCCCCCCCCCCCCCTCCCCGCAAAAAGAAAAAAAAAAGAGCAATGAGACAAGTGTATACCTTCAGATTTTGTCCAGCGAACTCGCGGAACAGGAAAACCATCGGCCTGGCAGTCGATGATTGCCGTTCCTCCTTTGACCACTATAGAGTCTGATGGTTCTATCCGCCATCTTGGAGGCACTGGAAAGACAAACGCGTCCGTCAAAAGCTGAAATAAGTAAACCAAAAAGTAGCGAAATGTGACACTTAGACACGAACACAGAATTATCAAGGCATGATCACAACTCACAACCTCCGAAAGCTCGGGGAATATTAAAAATAATACCAGAAATCAGTATTTGCAGGTATGTGGACTTTACAACTCAGTTCACTGAGTGGTCAGCACCATCCACATCGACGCTAGGAAAATCAAAGATGCCCGAGGTTTCGTAAAGGTAAACCCACTGTAGTGGCCGAGAAACTAAAAATGACAGCTTTGCTGGCATGTCAGCATTCCCACAGTGGGGGTGGGACCCCAATCACAGCATTCTACGAAGGGTGCTCGGCAAGTGGCAGGGCGCGAGATATATTTTCCCAAAACAATAATGTCTGCTGTTGAATAGTTAGCATAATGTACCTTTGCATATACCTACATTGTGCGCAGCGTCAAATGACAGCTAAAAAATGTCTATGTAAAAGGTTCTTGCAAAGCACGAACACATACAATCGCTACGAACAGAGGAATCCTAGTGAGTGATGAAGCTCGAATTATAGGTGTATCACAAAATTTCATTTGCGCAGGAACAGTGAGCAAGGGAAACAGCACATGGTGAGCTCCAACAGTGTCATGCCGAAAGGTAAATGCATATCTTTAGACTTAGAAATGTGTGTAATCGTGACAGGTTAGTTTGTTGAGTTCACAATCGTTTTTGAACGCTACCATGGGGTTGCTCTCAGTGATTGTTGAGTGATTATGAGAGTACGGAAATTACCAATATTTTCCGATCTTAAAAAGGAGCTCTGGAAAAGATGATGGTTACTGTTTTGCCTCGAAATTATTCAATACAACGATTTCGGCATAACTGAATTAACAACCCATATATTTGACCCAAATATTTTTGTTGTGAAAACTCATTAAATTTTTAAATTATGTCGTCTATCACTAGCGCTACCAGCGAGCTCATTGATGTTTTAATTATGTCCTCTACCCCTACCTCTACCAGCATTGCTGAAATGGTGATAACTGGTTTGGGTACTTGTTCATTATTTTACCAGTAGAACTTCTTTCAAATGAATTACAGAAGGTTTGGTTGCGTGAGATTAATTCTATTGAAGCTCACTCCAGCAGTTGCTGAGCAGAAAAAAAAAATGCGGCGTTTATTTGTTTTAGGGTGCCAGATAAACATGCTAGTTTCCAAAAGTAGAAATATTGCCACTGAAATACGCAAGTAAATTTAAGTGCTTGTTTTGGCGTGACCTTTATTCGCCCTTTCATCAGTAGCTATTTAGAATTTGGATGTACCGTAGCATGCCGGGAAGTGTAATGCCCGGGAATCTAGAAATTGTTATTAGTTTTGTCAGCACATCGCACCTCCGGAGTACCCATCTAAATTGGTCAGTAAACTTTGTGTGTGACCAAAGCACACCCCCGCTTTCAAGTGTTCATTTGCAAATGAGGCATAAATCTATGTCGCTTCGAGAAAAAATTTAAGCCCTAAAAATTTGCGTGCTATTAACTAAAATTTTACAAAATTAAAGATGCAGTAATTTGTATGTATTTTAATGTGTGTCAATGTCTTATTGACGGTAAAAAAGGTCAATTTATTAATTCAGACGACACACACTTTGGAGGCACACTAGATGAAGTAAACAATCGTTTCTTAGTTAATATCATTTTAATCTAAGTTTTTTTTTTTTAGGACGCCTGCTGAAAAAAATGTAAGAGTATTCCTTCTCCACAAAAACTATGCAGCGTCGGAGCATCATACTCCCCCACCTTTGTAGCGTCGGTTGTTGAGATCCGATCTCAAGGTTTCAAGACTTCAAGTTATATAAATCTAGAGTTAAAAGCAAAAAAAAAAAAGTTTTTAATAAACAATAAACAAAAGTGTTTTTTTGTTGTTTTTTTTTTTTGCAGCAGGCGCTATTTGTTGTCATGCTTTCTGGTTTTCCCGTATCAGTTCCTCTCCCCTTCATTGTTTACAAAAATCGTTTTCACTTTTAGTTCAGATCACGTATCGAAACTGAAAGTTTGACATCCTGTGTCGAATCCACCGGCGCTACATGCTAGCAGACTCCCGGCAGAGTGCGTATCGTATCCAGTAGCAATAAATCGTATTAATCCGGCGAGCTTACATTCCCGCAATATAGTACTTTTTTTATAGCAAATCCATGAAATCAACGCAGGAAGCTCGAAAATGACGGGGCTGGAAATATGTTTGAAACTAAAAGAAGCACTCTGAGCTGTGAAACTAAGGACAACGTTGGTACACGAAACATCATGTGCAGTGTCACAGCATAGGCAGCTTTTTTAGGCATGTACATATTTTCATGGCATTGTCATTCGCCGCGCTGCCTCCGTGGATTGATGCGATTGGCTCTTCTAAGAGCTTTGCAAAAAGGTAGACGAGGTGGATATTTTTAGACTGTTTGAGACAACTTTACCAGGGAAATACACCTCACTCCGCGAAAATCCAATGGCCTTGGCGCCGACAGGCGGTGCATAGTTGAAACTCTTGGACTTGCACAGTCCCCTTTGAATAGGTAGGGGGTGTTGGCCGCCCGTGATTATCGTGAACAACCGTCTCTGCTGTCTTGGTCAGTCCGGTATGTCGGCGCGCTGGCGCCTGTCCTTTCTATTGGCGCCACGTGAAAGCGTTGACAGCGCGAAACGCATGCGTTCTATCGGAAGCAGAGAGCACATCAGGCTAGGGGAAGGTTTGGCGCCGTAGCCTCGCTAAGTGATGAAAATGAGCTGAGTAGAATGTATTCCCTCTAATAAAAGATGTGTTGTTTCTAGGTAACTGCCGGCAAGTGAAAGATAGGAGGACGGGCATGCGGTAAAAGGTGCATCAAAGCCATACCGTGAATTACCATTGTGGAGGTGGCCCGAACCAGTCCCGCCTGGTTTCGCGCCTCGCAGGTGTAGTTTCCCCGGTGCTCGGGAACCAGCTTGTCGAAGATGAGCGTCGACGAGAACTGGGTGACGTTGAGCACGCTGACGGCCGCTGCACCCGTGGTGGCCACGGGCGCGTCGTCCTTGTACCAGGCAATGTGGATCGGAGAGTCGCCCTTGGACACTGTGCAGAGCACGTTGAAGCGCTGCCCCTGGTGCAGGGACTCCGGGAACGAGAAGGGCACAATGGCCGGCCGCACTGGAGCGAGACGTAAAGGGCATATTGGTGGCTGCAACCTCATCCAATATTCGACGCTGAAGTCAGAGACGTACACACCCGTAAGCAAACTCTGACGTCACGGGACATGTGCAGGCGCACAGTGTCTGACATGAATCTGGCCTCTGCGCACACGCAGTGCTCGTAAACCGTGAGGTGTTTACAGGATACGTGAAGCGCAAGTTCGTCTGGTTCTTCCGCAGGGGTTGTGGTGATGTCAGAAAGCGGAGCTTTGACTGGCCCTGATTTAAAGATGTTGGGTAGACCTCAAAGGCAAGCTGCCTTGAGGTTTACACACTATCTTTATATCAGAGCCAATCGGAGGTCAGCGTTTTGACGTTCCCCCGACCCCTGCGAAAGTAGGAGACGAACCTGCGCTCGATGAGCAGAATGTAAAGCTGTCACGCCTATAGGGAGTATTCACTGGAGGCCGTATCCGTGCGCGCTGCTGCTGAGCGCGTGCTGACGGCGAGCTTCCGCAGTCCTTTTGGAGCGTGCATTTAGCACCGTCAAGGTTGCCGGACTGAGCAGGCTATTAATGTGAGCTCGTTCCGAGCATGCGCTCTGAACATCGCCCTCAAATATGGCGTCCAGTGAATACCTCCTATAGCGTTTCGGATTTAACCATAAATTTCTCTCGTGTAGGCATATCGATATAAGGGATGCAAAAAAAATAGAGCTACGTAAGTTAATTTCAATTCTTTTGAATTCAATGGATTGTCTAAAAAAAATACGTGGTACAAATTTGTTGGACAGCTTCTGGGCTCATAGCTGCTTTGGCTATAGTTTGGTCATATTTTAACAAAACATTAGGATGATCGCCAATGATAATACAAAGACTGCGACTAACCTTCGATAGGTAGCAACAGAATGTCAAATTAAGTAATTAGTAATATAATGTTGGAAACATAACATATAAAATAAATTAACCATTCGTACTTTAAGTGACAAATCATAATTACTGAATTTGGTTTCAAACTTTTGTGAATGTACTACGATATTGAATTCTAGATATGAATACCGCAGAATGCCCATAATCACTGTCCTCACACATTACGAATCTGGGCAATGTTAATGAGTTCTGGGGGGGGGGGGGGGGGGGAGGGGGGGGGGACTGCCGTGGTTTAAAATATGCACCGGATGATAATATTTAGTATAATATGTTAATGCATAGAGTGCTGTAGTGTATATATTTTGAAATGTAAAGACGTTAAAGATGCGGAGCCAATAAAAAATGCGCGATGGTTTGGTCACTGCACCTCTGCTCTAAGAACACCCGAATGCGCTCGCAGTACAAAAATAAGGTCTGCATTTTAGAGATAACCTAAATAGTCCAAAAGGAATGGTTGCCAACAACAACAAAAAACAAAAACGGAATGAACTGCTTAAGTAGCGCGAGGGTGTTGTAACGTGAACTTAAAAAAAAAAACACATACAAAGCGAATGAATAGGTATATTTATTCTAATATTGAACACCAAAATTTAGCACCGTGATTCCTTACTCTCTGAATTCTAGATAAGACTAAACCGAAACGAAACGCGGACGCCCACCAAGATCTTAAAATCTGTTGTTTCTTTCTCTAACAACGCTTTTCCGAAATTAAAGGGAAGCGAGAAATAGGACGAACAGAGGAGGAACTATTCTGCAGCTAAAGCGCGCGCTGGTTGAGCGCGCACTTTAGCTACTACTAGCGGCGAGCTCCTTCACGCCGCACGCACCGAGCTAGCGAAGGTAGCGGTGATAGCTCTCGGCGCACTAAGAGGCTCAAAGCCGAAGCTTGGTAAGCGCCGAGCGAACACATCGGAGTAGGCCACACAGCCTCGCCCCTAGGCTCACTTCCAGGCGGCGCAGCCTGTATACCGCGAGCTACGCGTTCCTTTGTTCTCATTTCATTTTCCCCCGATAGAACCTCCCGACTTCTTAAACGCGTTGGTTCCGAAGTTTAATTCAAGTATTAGAAGCATTTTCATATTTTAGTAAGGTTGCAGTGTGCGCAGTATAGTATAATTATCAAAATGCGTGCGAAATACCAAGGCATTTGAAGTCGTTCTGAACAAGAAGAAAAATATTCGCTTTGATTGACTACTCCGGATTTATTTCGTTATCAAATGATAATCCTACAAAACAAAAACTGTTAAAGAATGGCCTCAACGACAAGAAAAAAATAACCCAAGAACCTTGCGCATAAACTTCTCGTCTAGTATACCTCGACGAAAAGAAAATTTTCGTTTATAACCTCAACACACACGCGGATTCGAGGTCAAATGTAAATCAAAAACAAAGATTCTAAAATGTAAGGCATAAACCCCTTTCAAACATTAACCTACACAGCCTGTAATAGCAGGGAGAGCATAGCGCATTTCCTTGAGCAGATACTTCTCGCCGAAACTCTTTCAACAGCGGAGAGGATTGCTTGCACCGACGAAGAATAAATGGCTTATATTTACGCATTACAAAGATAGCGGCTCACGCATAGGCGTTCAGCCAAGTGTGAGTCCGCTATACATGGCGGACGTACAAACACAAACAAGCGCAGCGATATTGAAGAATATCAGCGACTACCGCGGAATGGAAACCACAGCTGATGAATAGCCGGGTACTTCCGCAGAATGAGCACGAAAGGAATATGGGTTTTCTCGTTTCGGAGATAAAACTATCATAAACGTGTTTTTTTCTTTCACCTGTTTTTTTCTTATTATTTGGTGAAAGAGAAAGAACGGTGCCTCTGTGCTTTGTGCCTCTTCTTTCTCTTTGTGTTGCCATTCGTACGTTTAATTTTGTTTACATGGTGAGGAACACTATAGGTTTAGTTTTTATTCGGATGAACTCGTTTTTTTTTTGTTTTTTTTTACCTTTCTCATTTATTAGGGCTGTTTTGCAACGTTACAAAGAAATAATGCTCGGTGTTGCGTGAAATGAAAGCCATCCCCAAAACGCAGATGAATGTCCAAAATGTTTGAGCTAGTCAATTACTTCGATATAATATTACTAAAAGACTGTATCGATTCTGCAGCCTTCACACTTCGGACAATCAGTTTTGTATGCGTGTGTACCCATGTGCTTTTTTATGTTTTTTGTTGAGGCTCATCCAGGCGTCTTTGGCGCTAAGTAACGCACACGATTCGTCGCGCTAATCCGAATAATTTTTTTGTACTTTTTATTTTGAATGAGTTAATAATTGACATGATATGGACTTGCACGTAATATAAGCATGCGCTAACAACACCAGAAAGCTCTAAAGTTAGCCGATCAATTACAAAGCAATGAAAGTGGCTATGGATAATGCGCTCACCTGCAGACTGAATACCACGGGCTGTGGCCCGCTCAGGACTCCTCTCTTTAATAAATAAATAAAAAAAAAAACTGGCGTTATTAGTATTTTTTTTTTCAAAGTGGGGATGCGGAAAAATGTGGTTTTCAAAAGCAACGGTGTTTTACCTAATAGGCCTAGTAAAATCAGTCACAAACCGTTCGCCTAAAATGAATTTCACAACTTTCGTCGTCATAAGATGTTCACCTGGCCATTTATGTCTTAATAAACAGAGCTGCAAGTGGCTGAGAAGCAGCAACCGTCTCATACGTATAACCAGGAGCTCAGGGCGGCGGAAAAATCGGGACTGAATATCTGAAACAGATAAATACAAAATAAAAAGAAATGGCGCAGCGACGAGTATTTTTTTTTTCTTTTTTGTAGCATGTACTTTTCATGCGTGAACAAATAAGAGGGTGGAGGGGGATCAAAGTGTGTGACGAAAAACTGCTTCATTTACAAAAAAAAAAAAAGAAAAATCATGTTTTGCGTTATGATTTACTGACAAGCTTATGGTGAAAGAGTGTCCGGGGAAGTAATCCTGGTCCGGGTGATTTGATAAAAGCGTGAATCAACACAGAAACGACAGTAGAGCAACTAAAAATCAGATTTATACCCCAAAACTTTATAAAGAAAATATCGATGAAACTGTGCGAAGTGACTTGTTGAAATGGTGTTCAATGAATGGCCGTCCCGTGATATTATAATCATATTTATATATTTTTATAATCTTTATTTTTGGGTGCCCCAAAACAACCCCATCGGTCTTCTTATTGGTTCACCAATACAAACAAACAAAATCAGCAAGCAAATACATAGGGTCTAAACACGCTTACTGAAAAGATAAAACATATAACGCAAAAATAATGCTAAATGCTGGAATAATATCATTCCAATCGTGACGGTATTAGGAATTGATGTAGATATGTCAAGGTGAGGTGGAGCGAATGTATTATATAATGACCGAATTCGTGAGAAAGGTGCGGTATTACATGGCAAGCGAATATCAAAACAAACAAGGTGTCTGGTTACTGGAAATGGAATATGAAAGTTCACTTTCGCAAGGAGTTGCGCCGAATCAACTACGCCATTTACAACCTTGTGCAGGAAAATTAAATCTGGAAGAGAAGTGAAAGAGAAAACATTTTCATTATATATTCATACCAATATTAAACGCGCGCCTCATAGTATAATCATAAACAATCCGGACAACTCTTTTCTGAACATTTTCTATACTCATAGTCTGCGTCTTTATATTGAGTTCCATACGACAGACCCAAACTCGAGTCGTGACCTCACTAAAGAATTAAAAAGGTGAATCAATGAATGAGGGTTTCTAAAATTACGCGTCAAGCTAGAAATTACCCCTGGTACTCTAAAAGCATTGCCCATGACGAACGACACATAGGTGGACGCATAAATGTCCACTTATTCGATGAAATGGCGTTCAATGAAAAGTCCGGCACCCAGTTTGCGGGTATAGTGTTCCGCAGGTAAGTTGGCTCACACACATTTCTTCAAATACTTTACGGGTAGAATACATTCTACTCCGTTTATTAACAACGGACAACGCACCCAGAGCGGCTAATCCTCCCCAATCGGTATGGAAAGACCACGTCCGAGAGAAGTCACGCGCACCGCGCTGTCCACGCTGTCGCATTTTTGCATCGC